CAAAACGCGGTAAACTTTCCTACCGCGTTTTGACGCGCTAAGGTGATGAAATTACAAAACACTACCATTTTTATTTTTCTAAAGGATCAGATTTCTTCTCACTTAGATTCACATCAACTACAAAACTAACGATTTGCCTCTAAGCAAAAACTCCCATCCTTTCATTAAATTCCAAAAAATTTAGAACAGATATTTTTTTGTTCTGATCGATCGTTTCTTACAAACATGTATTCACAATTTTTACCCTTAAAGAGAATAGACATAAAGTATACAGTTTCATTGATAATATCATAAGCTTATGTACCAAATATTCATTTTGTATCCACGTTTCTATCTTTAACATCTTAACGAAATTGCACACAAAATGTATCGTCCCCTATTTTAACCCATATGGATTTAAAAAAAATCCTTTCTTGGTGCTCACAATATTTGTACAAAATTATATTCATACTTCTAAACCCAACGGTGTCAACTGTGCATTGATTAATAAGTCAAGTGAGTCAAGTCTTTCATTTAGCCAGATTCTTATTTTATATTAGAGATCTAATACCAGCGGTCCGCTGCCGATTCACACGGTTTATTTGAGAAAAAAGGTCATAGTGATTGAAACTTTAAAAAATTACATATGCTGTCGCGGACTTTTTTATAGAACTGCGAAAGGGGAATAATTACGACATACATGGTTTTTGTGAAACCGTTTATACAGCGCACGTTCGCTCTCAAATGGAATATTCTTTTCCGTTTTTCCAATATTTTTCATCGATGCTCCGCTCCTATTGGATGTAGCGTGATGTTTTATAGCTTTTATTAGCAATCCTTGATAAATGGACTATCTAAAAAAAATAAAAAATCTAATCAAGTGCGTTCAGCCAACCAAACAAACAAACGAACTAATCAGTTTTATGATATTAGTATATCTATACTATACAGCTGGCAATGGTAACCTTTTATTTTGTGTTTGCGTTTGTGCTTTATTTGTATTATATCTTAAACCAGTCAGCTGCTACACAGCACGTAACTGTTTTCTATGCGTTCACGATACAGAGGAATTGTTTGTCTCTTCATCTGGTTGCGCCATGACCGACATTGAGCGTAAAATCAATTTCCATTGAGATAAATGCTCTTGATACAGTTCAACCCGTATAATCTTTTGTGCACCTTTCTAAATAATACAAACAGAGCAGATAACTGTCTCTATTATTAATTGAAATATATTTTTACACGACTACCTAAAAAGTAAAATATTTTGTATGTAGGAGCCGTATTGATGTTGGCCCTTCCACAATGATGGCCCTTCTCACATTTACACTAAAATATCAAGAAATAGAAATGAAATACTGAACAAGATATCTTTCTATTTTTTCTTTTTTGTGATTCCACTTCATGACTTGATCAACAAGAGTAGAATTATGACACCGTCTTAAACGAATTGTTTTGTAACTGGTGTAACAACAAAAACAAAGTTCAGAGTGCTCTGTTGTAGAGCAGAACAAAACAACAAACAGTGAATAGTCATTGTTGTTTGTACCGACATAATTAACATTATAATTATTGCTGTCAAAGGAGGTACACTCTGTACTATTCATTCGACTGAGGCCAGGAGATAGATATTGTCCTGTTGTTGTTGAAGACCAAAAGCTCTAATAATGATGTTGTTGTAGGAAAACGCGCCTAATTAACACCCTTTAATAATATGGTACACGTAATTGTAAGTATAAATATCTATTTAAAAGAATATCAAATGTGATATCTACTCGTATTCATCATTATAACACCTTTCACAATGAATGAATGAATGATTATTATTTGAATGTATTGAAGTTTTGGACGTTGTTACTCATTCAAGGAAATCCCAGGAATAAATAACCGAACTGTTTTAGGAAATATGTAATTATAAGAAATCTACTTCAACGTAGGTATTCATTCTTAGTATAAAAACAAGAATAAAAAACGGTCAAAAGTAGTACAATTAAACAAAGAGGTTTATAAATACGCGGCAATATTGTTTACCGACTAAAATAAATTACTATTCAGTAGATGACAGAGTAATTTAACTTTTATCAGATTACATAATTTTTCTGAACATCTTCAGTTTATTTATAACGTAGAAGTTATTAACTCAAGAAGTTTAGTACAACGCGGATTCTGGAAGCGAGATGTAGATACTTAAATATCGTATTAATGCTTTAATGCACAATTTTGCTCAATGATACACAGCCTGCCGATACATTCCTACTGAAATTCATGCTCTACCATATTAAAATTTTAATGACTATTATATTAGACACGCCAACTTTGGTCGGAATAAAGAAGTATCTGCTATATATATGCATACTAAATATTCTTAAAATTTTTATTTTATATGTTACCGCCGATCTGTATAATTCGATATTCTATACAATATCTCGGTAATGTAAAGAATGCCAAAAACTTCAAGGCAATGTATAAAATATTATTTATTTTATAATTTGCCTAGGTATGTTTTGTTCAATGCCAACTGAGCATTCGGAATTGTATAAAAATACAATGCCTAATGCGCAGTTGACAATTTGTATAAAAGAATATAGCACGTCAAACTTTTCCTTGTATAATTTATCTACTATCTGTATCAGGTGGCTCGCTTTGCTCGCTCGGCTCGTGCTAACTTTAGGTCACAACGCGTACGTAACCTAACCCATTGTGAGTTGGTCAAACGTTCATTGGTCTGTTATTTATTCGGTGAGAATTATAAAATCCGTCCGTAATTTTATATGCAGCTGGGTAGCCTAGGTTAGGTTTTTTTTTGTCTTAGGTTCTTAATTGGGGCTGTTTTAATGAAATTTCTTGTCATGTATCGGTTATTATTAAAGTTGGCCTAAAATCCTACCTGAAGCCGCCTTTGATACAGCCAGAGGTAGAAACGTGAGCCGGGGGATAGAACGAAGAAAGATTTAAGAAGTAGAAACGAAAGAAGGCTTAACGAGTATAAAGAAAGAAAAAGAAAAGGAAAGGTGTGTTTTTTTTTTAATTAATGCATGGGATATTGACAAGCAGGCGGGCCCCGGCCCGACCAGTTAATGAGAGGAGAAGGGTCCTCTCATCAACCGGCCGGGCCGGGGCCCGCCCCATTATCGAAGCCTAGGTTAGGTTAGGTTAGGTTGGTTAAGATAAATACAAGCTAATTCTGTTTACTTATATTGCTGGAGGGCCAGCAGGGACTCTACACAATCCACTGGCATTGTATACATTATCTAGATAAAGTAAAAAATGGAAAATGATATTTATTATATATATAATATTATATTTATTGATTTACTGTTTACATTATTAGAATACCTGCATAATACAGATTGCTGGTGTCATATATAACTACGAGTAAGTGCGACGTCCAGTACATTGCTGACCAACTACGCCTGATTTCTACATTTTTTTAATTTGTTTAAATTGATGCTGATTTAGGAGTGATCGAAAATCATAATCTGATAACATTCTTGTGCAGATTTTTAAGTTCTTAATAAGTTATAAGAACCTTCACTTTTCAAGTATTTAAAAAGTCACTAGTTATCAGATTCGAATACAACTCAAGGCTATTAAGATATTTTCGATGACTGTAATATTGTTAAATTAATTACTCTGTGAAGTACTCTCTTGTTTACATTGAAATTAATGCCCTCGACAATGATTTTGTCAAATGGCTGTACTGTGTCTCTGTTTCTCATTAAATAGGAGTTAACTTTCAGAAATTTTAATGCCATATTACAGAGGTGTAATAAACACCGACACAGAAAGTGGGGGCTTGAAGAGACGATATTTCACTGGCTGAAATAATAAGTACTGGAGGCGATATATCAGCGTAATGTGTTACGTCGCTATGGGCGGTCCAGTAGGCAATTTCAGGAAAGCAGACGAAAGCATAAGTTGTAATTTAAAAATTTCACTACTATACGTCATTGGAATAATAAAAAGTTTTCTTAAGTATTTTTATTGGCATAGGTATCGTGTCGTGCTGCAAGATTATCGACAGTCAAACTATCGATCCAAGATAATCTTGGAAAAAGTCAAAATATCTGTATATGTACATATGTTAGGTTATAAGGTATGTAAGCCTACGTTTCCTGATTATTATCAAATAAATAAAGAATAATAAATCTGACGTGTAAATAAATAACTTTTCTATTAGTTTCCCTAAATGCCATAGAATATAAAAGTCATTGACATCATGCGGTTATCGCGCCCATAAAAACAATTCAGCGCAAACCTTCCATTTGCTAACGATACATATTTGATGGGAGCTAAAAGCTTATAGGCGCACGCACCAAAGTGAACTCAATCCGCCACCTGAAATAATAACTAGTTTTCAATTTATCATTGATATAACGATAAAGAAAACGATTGCATTATTTACTCCTTTGCTATGTTAATCGATGCGTGGTAAATAAATCTAAACACACTCGCCAGCAATGAATGCGTCACCCCTATTTCAGGAACCAATTCGGACAAACGATTAACTTTAAATGAACGGAATCGAGTATGCTCGTATTCGGGCAGTTTTCGTTTTGGTTATCCGACACCGTCTTCCAGCCCGTGTTCGAGTAAAAACACTTAAAATTTGCAACGGGTGCCGGAATAAGAGAGAATGTCTTTCGTGCACCCGATTACATGCTAACGTCCAAGTGTAAATGCGTCTTTACTGTTTACATTGTTTTCCGGTATTTTGCAGGGAACTGCGGCAGCACGCTCGCGCGTCATGGTCACAACACAACACTAACCTAACCTAGTGTGAACCCAAGAATATTTATAATAACCCAACGATTATTTTCTCAATCTTACTGAGGTGGAGGTTTTGCAAAAATCCTATCTAATTTCTGTAAGATTGAGAAATACCATTACCGAATTATCCGCGTATTCGCAAAATCCCTATGATTTTCGCGATAATTCGATTTATTATAATATCACCCTACGACATATACAAAGTATGTACTAATTTTAAAAGTAAATTTAACCAGCTCTTATCTTTTCAGTGTACGATGCATCTGGTCAATACAACCCAAATATGCTGTTCGGCAACGAGTTCTGGTTGGGCTCCATGATGGAGTGCCGGGACTTGCAACTGCCACAGTACTACGAGCAGACGCCGCCCTTTTCTGTCGGCTTCTACGTCGTCAAGATCAACATCACCATCGATGCAGAACATATTCCACAGGTACCTTTGTTTTTCTCTCTCATTTGTTTGAGTTTATAGTCTTGTGGGTTAAAAAAAGAACAACAACACTGATAACTTTCCAGCCCATCAAAAACAAGTAGTGATAGGAACTCAATTTATTAAAATAACGATTACTTTGAAAATAACGATGGCACGGAGTTTGATAATAAAATGGCGTGAAGTTTTGTCTATGTTTAAAAAGCTTTTCCGTACTCTGTCAGGCATGTTGGTTGAGCCGCTATAAATTTATCCAGTCATTAGCAGCCCTTCGATCAATGAACCGGCACGGACGTTGTTTCCTCCCCGTGTGGATTCTATCCAATTATTTAAATACAGACAGCCTCTGTCCGAAGTGTTATAGGATTTTTTTCATCACAAAATTTTATCTTATTAGTAAGTGCTCTGTAATATTTACAATGTGATGAAGTGGAGATTTTTTTATACAAAAAGCAAAACTCATGTCAATCGCAATCAAAACATTATTTTATATATTTGATATAAGATTATTTTTTTCTCTTTCACTTTAAATTTTTATAAGTATTGTTTGCGTTTTGTCAGAATACAGATTTGTTTGGCACAAATAAATCAGTGCGTTCCGTGTAAAAAAACCCAAAAATTGCGCCGCCAGCCGTCTTGAAATTATTGATGCAAAATAGATTCTAGTCCAGGAGGTAGCATTTCAAATGCAAAAGTCATAGTAAGCCGGCTGATATTAACATCGATAGTTGATATTATATGGCTAATAACTGAACCGACCGTCAGTTGCTCAAGTAGCGGTGGGTGCGTGTGTAGGACGCTGCGAAAGAAGTGAAAAAAATAATAATTAAGAAATAACTTTTTTTATAAATAGTTGCCATCATACTGAGCTAAAAAAACGTCAGCTGCTCACGAACTTGTAAAATAAAGTTATATTAAGCCTTATGAAATTTAACTACACGATTCTTCAAAAATTTTTGAGTATGAAAACAACAATAAGCTGCTTGTGTAACGGTGGAAAGAACATCAGCTGACCCAGTCAAGATTTAAAATTTTGAAGCATTGCTATTAGGCTGTTTCCTTTTAAACACGTATTTCAAGATAGATTCTGGCCTTGCTTGAACCCATAAGAGCCCATTTGAACAGGGACGGAATGAACAGGAACTCCCTATATTTCACAAAAAATTAAAAAAATATTTAACCGATGAATGCTTCTATTCTATCGAAGAATACTTTAATAAATTTAATTAATTTGATTTTTCTTTTTGATTGTTTTGTTTTGTTAAATTATGTTATAATGATAGTATCTCCCAAACCAAATTAAATATAATACAATTTTATAATATCATAATAATAAATGTTTAATTACCTATTATTTGTTATACCTGTACAAGGTGACTAAGTCATAAGATGCTATGTATAATGTTTAAGAACCGTATGTAACACTTAGTTTGCAAAGAGTTTGAGTTTGAATTTAGATTTTTTGCAAGAAATCGTAATTTTTGAGCGCCTACTTTTGACTATTTTTATACAAGTTAAAATAGATTTACCTTTTAGCCTTTTAGGTTTTATCTGCGGAAAAATTCCTAGTGAGCTGAATTTTTGTATATGTTACGCTCAAAGATCGAAAACGCCTAGTGAGCGGAAAAATAGCTCACAACGCGTCGTAGTTAATTAATATTCCATACGCGTCATGGCTTTTCTTCATTGCCACAACGCGTTGAGATCGAATAGCATGTCAGCCACGACACAAATTTCGCTATTTGGTCTTTCTGTGATTGCCACAACGCGTCGTATGCGTTTTCATTTGAACACGAATTTCGCCATGTGGATGTTTTACAGTGACCACAACGCGTTGTGAGCTATTTTTCCGCTCACTGAGCGTTTTCGATCTTTGAGCGTAACATATATATACCTTTATTACGGCTTTTCAATGATGATGTGAAAAATCGACATTGATATCGTGCCGGCTAAATAAGTTATAAGGGTCAAAGGTCATAATATTCAGTTTTTCCGAATATCTCGTAGGTCAATAGAAGTAATTATAAAAATACTACGTTGTAAAATTATCTACAAAAATGCATCTTGTATTTTTCTGTCAAATTAACCGTTTTTGGAGTAGAGCGCTGAGAAAGCGACTAGAATGCACTCACATACAGTATTGTATACCGTACACCAAAGCGTAAACTCTATTTCTTGTTTCATTTTTTACATCATCATTGAAAAGTCAATAAATGTGTATACAAAAATTCAGCTCATTAGGATTTTTTCCGCAAATTGGGGTTTAAAATGCCTAAAATGACTGGATTATATCTTATTGTAAGTTAATATAGAATATTTGCAAATATTTTTTTTGTACTGATTGTTCTATCGCACCTTGTTTACGGAAAAAAAAGATAAAATGCACAACTTCAAACGAAATCTATGAATTAGATGGAATGAACTAGCTTAAATTATTTGCTACGTTATCAGAGAGATGTTTTTGTTAACATAATATTGATTTTTCGGTTCATTATTAAAAGAAGAAAGAAAATACATTTATTTTGACACAAATAACGAGACAGTAGATACAAGATTTTGAGCAACAAAAAAAAAGTACAAGAAAAATCATCGTAAATAATAGGATAACAACACAGCAAAAAAGTAACACACACAATTTTTCAAACCGTTCGTTACCACCGGTGATTTAATCTGTTGATATCTCGCGACTGCGCCAAAACAGGTTGTCATTTCAGCATGTTGTCAGGTTTGTGGGACCTGACGCTGGTTTTCAATTGACACTATGGTTCTTTTGGTAACTGACTATCGCAAAAAATAAATATAACAATAAAAAAAAAAAACAGAAAGTAGAAAGTAATGTAAATGACAAATACACCTTTCAATATTATCATACATAAATTAGATACGTGTATATGTTATGGGCTAAGTGATGTAAAGCATGTTTAATACTTTCAAATGAATACTTAGTTCGATAGACCGAGCATTACAAGTAATGAAATCCATTATCGGGTAAAGTAATAACAAAAACATGTTTTATAGTTAGGTATTTATTTTTAAAATTTAAATAATCAGACTTCGGTTTTACTTCGATCAATTTACGAAGGGCTACATTTAGAAACTATAGTCTATAGTAGCTGCAATGCAGTTTGTTTGAAAAATTCATTAAATCTATTAAATGTTCAGAATTTATGGTTCCCTTTTTTTAGGATGCAAGGACTAGGGAAGTAAGAACCACTACTGCTGCCTTATCTCCGGCGCTACGGGAATACCAGCCCCTCCGCCTTTGCGTGACAAAGTCACAAGCATCACTCCCCTTCACGCCTTCGGCTTGTTGGTCGCCACCTCCAGCGGCGACCAGCCTCAGGTACTACGGGTAGCATGATGCTTGCGGCTTTGTCACAGCAGGCGGGGGCTGCTCTTCCTCCGCGCCTCCGGGCTCTAAAAACACTTAGAGGTAGGGCAGACCAAGACCACGGCGTGTCGGGGTTGACCAAGTCGGTTCTGAATTAAAGACTGTTGTAAAGTCACATTTACCTTTTTTGTGTTGAGGTCATACTATTTTTTTATTTACCAAGATCTCAAAACAAACACATAATGGCGAGACTTCTGTCATTTTGACAATAGTACCAACGTTTTGAATTTATTCATACTGCCCGGTCCAAGGGATAAATTCAAGCTATCTCAATGCACTTATTACATGGACCACGAGCCGTCGGGCATTATTAATAATGGCCGGGCAATGTGATATAGGTGAGTTTAGAGTGTAATTAATCACTTGGCCCGATATGGCTGGGCATTATTCATACTGCCCTGGCATTATGATGACTGCCCGCATTAATCACTTGGCCCATAACATTTGTACATTTTATATTGACAGACACGCACTAGGAACAAATATACAGAAACCAAACAACAATACGTAAACTAACAGAAAAAAAATCATCGAACTTCCGTGAGTTTTACCTATTAATAATGCACGTTTACCTTGTGTTTTGATATTAAATAAAGTACAATTACTATCAAAACTTTATATAAACCTAATCTAAAGTATAAATATTTTTTTATAATAAATTTATTAATTATTATTTTATAAGATCTAAAACATCACCCGTAAAATGCAATATATACTAGTGCTCAACTACTCGCCGATCAGTGCGGTGTCAGCACCCTTCGAAGCAGGACTTATGTCATTTTTTACCGCACGCATCCCGAGCAATTTCATGCGAACAAGTTCATGCGAGCAGCTGATGCATAGTCCCCGCTCCACGATGCAGAGAGTATGATGTCAATTATTTATGAAAAAAGTTTCAGCCGGCGTATTATTAGTTAATTTTTTTTACCAATTCCGGAACCTCCCAATTCCACACCCACCACAGGTGCGCCAGTTAGAAGTAGTTCAGTTAGAAGTCATTGGAGATCTATAGTAAAAGATGGCAAGTAATCGACATAAAATCACTGCCGAAAATGCAACGCTACCTCCCGGACTATTCCACCCCAGCTACTAATTTATTAATAAATAAAAAAAGGTTGTAATTTCCATCCACTTTTTTACCCTTCAGGGGTATAATTTCAAATACTTACATAGAATAATATGTATCTAGACAATGTTATTCTTTATTTCTGATCTCTTTTATAAATATTGAGTTCGGAGTTAATCGAATGTGCGTAAAACTCACCTCCAATCATCCTTTATGGGAAGTTTAGGCAAACCAAAAATAGCAAATTTTATGATTTATTGAGATAAGTATTCGTTAATTTTGTAAACTCATTACAATCATCCATTTTAAGAAAGTAGCATCAGAATCTGAAAATGTACTTATGTACTACAAATGTAAAATTACATGTAACACATAAGTATTATTAGGTATAACACCGTGAATTTGGAATTGTCTGAGAAAATTTAGTAGCGAATTCAGACAACGATTTAAATTAAATTTCCGCAAAAAAACCTGAACTTGTTTTTTTCCAATAGTGTGTCCGCGTTAACTTTGTAATTGTGCAATTAAGAAACCTTAACAATTTTAGTTGTCAAAAATTATCTTTAAGAAGCCTATAACAACTATGAAGAAATATGTGCTAGAGTGGCATATTCACTAAAAAGGCCAATAAGTCAATGCCACTCTTGCTTGTCTTTAATTGATAGGTTGATGAATATTCTAGAATTTACATACACATATTCATCACTCGTGAAACTGACCATTCAGTTTAATTGGTCTGTTCGTTTGGTTAGGAAAGTCCTTAGCAAACATCCAATTTATGCGAACCTATGGAGACCGCAACCACTCCTAAAGTTAGGATTTTCGCAACGTTCCAAACAAGAGTGCTCCATCAAACTAAGTGTACAACGACGTCCTCATAATGTCGATCGCATCACAAAGAGTAACTCGAGCGAAGTGTATGTTTTGGACAGAGACAAAGATTAAACTTTCAGACGAAGTTCATATTGACAGCAAAGTCGATCTCTGAGAGCGCGAGGGTAGTAAAACATTTGTTTCGCCAAAGTTCGTTGCCATCCAACTCCTATCTGACTTGAGGGTTAACGCTTCTTTGGCACAGTTTCAATATTAGATATGAAATTTCAGATGTTACATTTTTAGCACATTTTTACCTTGTCTTCGTCATGGTTTACTGTACTAAACGCAAATTACTGGAGTGCCTAGAATAAAATTCTAACAAAGGTACAATATAATATTACTTTAAAACCTGGCAGTGGTCAGTGACTGGGGTGAGTGGCGGCCACAAACTAATAGTGATGCCGGCTGATGTGTGCTCAATTATACGTTTTTGACCAATTCACGTCTATCGTCAAGACGTCGTTTACCCTGGTGATACTTAGATCTATTAACAGGCAACGTATACCACCATCCACCCTGAGATTCTCGTATCTGAATTTAATGATGCTACCCCATCGGTGCACTCCAACATGGGAGACACTTTCTCTGATCCGTGTTCCTTTCTCTCCTCGTTGTTAATCAGTATTATATGTACTTTATACACTATTTATTTTCATAGTCTACTTAGTTTGAGACTAAATCGTTTTTATGCGTTACAAAAATTTATGAAAAAAACGGACATGTGCTGTTCACATACGATAGAAGTGAAACCTACAAAAATGTGAACAGGTAAAATTCCTTCATGACTAGGTACGTCTTGAAGACAACACCTGTGTTAAAACTCAACTCTCTAGGTTAAAATTAAATATTTTATACTCATTTAATTAATTCGAAAAATGATTAAAAGCTTAATAAAAGAAAAAAAAACGGGCAAGTGCGTTGTCGGACTCGCGCACCGAGGGTTCCGTACAAACTCAATTTAATAGGTCATGAGAAAAGAGGTAGTAACTTTAAAATTTTAAAATATTTTTTTATTATATGATGTAACTTAAAAATTTACGGTTTTCGCAATTTTTTCTTTATCTGTACTATAATACGTTACTTCGTACCAAATTTTAAGATTCTAAGTTCACGGAAAGTACCCTGCAGGTTTTGATTCCCGTGCGAGTTTCGAAAATTCGTGGCATAAACGGCTGTATATATTTAGCTTAGAAGTTTGATTTTTTCACAGCTCCAAGGGACAGTAATAGAGTATTAGTAGTAGTATTATTAGTAATGACATTCGTCTTCTAAAGGTGGAGAACTCTTCTTTAGATTCAAATCCCAACACTACATTTTTGTTCTTAATCATAATCAAAATCATTTATTCAGTTCAGGCTGTTACAAGCACTCATGAATTGAAGAAGCTATGCCATCGGTTCATAAATCTACGGCGGGAGAACTTGTACTGACAAGAACCAGCAAGAAACTCAGCAAGGGCTGTTTTTTTCTCTCTGTTTTATTATTTACAGAGTCGTCAAGTTGAACAATGACTTCAGAGATGTTTCATGAAGTCACCTTTCATTACATAGTGATTAAACATATATTAATTGGTTACCTGCATTTTGATTGCTGGGTCATACAGTTTATGTACAAACAGTGTTATTTATACTAAGTGTAAGTATAGTACTATATATAGTATAATATATAGTGTACTATACATTAATATCTTAAGAGTGGAGAACTCTTTCCCAGTCTCGTGTGACAACTACTCTAATTTCTGTTAACATATATTTGTGCAGTTGAGGATTGAGGAGCTCGATGGCGCAAATAGTCAGCGCGTTGGGCTGTGATTGTTGAAATAAAACAACTGTCGCAGTGGTCGGTCATTGGATAGGTGACCAAAAATTTACTTTATAGAGCTCCTCCTACGTACTTCGGAAGGCACGTTAGGCCGTTGGTCCTGGGGGCCAATCGCCTAACGGAAATGCTTTGGAAAACGCTAACGCTTACGATTTTATTTTGTTATTTCTAGCCGCCTGAGGTATTCAAATGCCTCGCGCTCTTTCTTTTTCTTTTGCATTGGTAATAACAATATTAAAAAAAATGAGCGTGAGGTATTCGAAAACCTCAGGCGGCTAGAAATAACAATATCGTTTCCCAAAGCATTTCCGTTAGGCGATTGGCCCCCTGGCTGCATCTGCAGTCGTTAGCATCCACCAATCCGCACTGCACCCGCGTGGTGGGTCATGGCCCAATCTCCCTATTCCATCCATAGGGAAGGCTTGTGCCCTAGCAGTGGGAACATCAATGAGCTGGTAATGATGATGAAATTTTGCAGGGGCGTCAGATATTTGTGGGCGAGTGTCTGCCGGCGTCGTGCGACGTGGCGGCCGTAGAGCAGTTCGTGTCGCGAGCTGAATCAGCAGCGTCAGCGCGGGCCGCGGCCGCCGGTCTTGCTGCCTCCCTGCGCACCGTCAGCGTCCGACCCGTGCCCGGCGACTACAACCTCTATGCTGATAGAAAGTTTCACATCATCGGGTAAGAATACAAATATGTACTGTAGAAGAAGAGCTCGATGCTGCAAGTGGTGAAACTAAGATTATTTTAAGTTAGCAATAGACTTCGTGCTACATGGCGGCCGTAGAGCGGTACGTGTCACGGGCGGAGTCAGCAGCGTCGTCGGTCTCGCCGCTTCCCAGCGCACCATCAGCGTTCGATCCGTGCCTTACAACCTTTACATATAAAATATATAAATATAAAATTTCACATAATTTGGTGAGAATGCAAAGACATTATACTAACTGTGAAACGAGGAGCTCGATGTTACAAGTAGTTAGAGCTTAGAACGCCCTAAGGCCGCCACATCACGCGGAGTCTATAGTTCGTGTCACGGGTGGAGTCAGTTGCATCAACGCTAGCCACGGCCGCCGGTCTTGCTGCCTCCCTGTCCACCGTCAGCGTCTGACCCATGCCCGGCGACTACAACCTTTATGCTGATAGAGTTTCACATCATTGTGTGAAAATGAAAATACGTACACTTACTGTGGAATAAGGAACTCGATGGCGCAAGTGGTTAGGGCTTGGAAGTAAGCAATAAACTCCGTGCGATGTGTGATGTGTGTGTGCCTTGGAGAGGTTTGTGTCATAAGAAGTCCAAGATATTCTTTCGCTGTCAACCGTGACCTAACTCCAAACCTACCACGTAGAGCTCTTAAAACGATGCCTTAGCAGAGTTTATGTTTGGGTACCGGTTTTATGTTTTACATCACCTTTGTAACCACATGATTGCAAAATACACTTGAACTTGAAACTTTAGTCACTGACAGAAACACAGCACCACCGTAGCGCAATATTTTTTTTTCTAGAGCACGAACAAGTTTTCGAAATTGATGATCGCCGAACAACATTTAAAAGCCAACGAAATTAATTACCGGCATTTGAGGAATGTTTAGGAGCAAACAAACCTGACTCCGATTCGGATCTGTCGGATGTTTTTAACTTTATTTGATTCAGAACAAAACTGCTGAAATTGTTCCGTGAACCGTAGCGTTCCTTATGTTTCACTTTCTCGAGTCTCCGAATTTAATGATAGTAAATTTTTAATGATTATTAGATGCCAGTATTTTATTTAGCCTTAATTTCGTAAGCTAAGTATATGAATTAAATAAAAAAAAAATTTACTTATACACAAACGTATCTTTATTTCCTTTGGTCACTCATAACTTTAGAACAGCAATTGGCATTTTTTTTTTCATATTTTACCAATATTTATAATCAGAATTTGCGGCGGGTCAAGTTGTTTTTGTACAGCCACTTCCGACTTGCCCATCTCGGCTTCAAAACGACTTCACCGATAGCATGTTCCTTTAAGTTTTCTAATATTTTGTAGAAGGTTCTTACAGAAAAAATAACAAAACTGACCAGTAAATTCGAAAGATTAAGAAAACTTAACTTACAACTTAAACTCCAAGAAGATTAGACAATTAACGATGTCGAATCAGGCTTAAAAATAAACCTACTTAAATCTTACTTTAAATGTAAAATTGCAAATGTGGATATTGGGAAATAAATAGACTGAAAAGATATAAAACATTAAATTTGTTACTTGCTGGAGGAACGGAGTGAGGTTTCATTCATAAGCTTTTGTGGGCTATGGCAGTGAAAAGGCGATTGTTGAGCTGACAATCTATTACTTCATATAAAGGTAACTCCCATAGCAAAACAGAAACCCTATGGAGCGGTATATTGAAGCATAAATAGTGTATCAGAATTGTAGTTACTTTTGTATACCGCTGTATGCAGCCTTTGATCTAAAAGTACTATTACGGCTGCCAAAAGCAAGAAATGCCCAAAGGCAGGCTGTTACTTCATATTAAAGGTTACTCCAATAGCAAAATACAGACTCTATGAAGCGGTATATTGAAGTATAATATTTTATCAGAATTTTAGTTACTTTTGTATAACGCTGTATGTAGCCTGTGATGTAGTACCTACGTATATGGACCGCAGTTCTTAACAATGATATTTATGACTCTCAAAAGCAACAAATGCCCAAATGTGTCATAATTTAGAACCCCTTCTCAATACGCTAGCTTTGTTTACGACATTCGTCGTAGTGATAAACATTAAATCCTCTTTGGCCCGTACGGTAATTGAATCTACATATCGAATGACAATGAAATCCTTCTGTCTAGGGCTGATTTATAAATTGTCTGTTTTGTAATTCGTTTGTATGATTAATGTTGTTCATTTAATTCGTGAAATTTGCGCTATTCAATTAAAGTAGACAGGCATAGTGTCAAGCCGTTATCAAAGTTGCTGCAGCAACTTCTTTTTTCTGAATTCAATTTGAAACGTGATATGTCGTTTAATAGCCGTTTTTCCGCTTAAATTGGAACACTGATCAGGGGATTGAGCTGCATCTTACAGAAGACCACAGTAAAAGAACATTTCCTTTTGGTGGTGTTGCGTTTGGGTTGGTGAGTATGTTTCTAGTCTAAAGCTTGACGAGGAAGGGATTGGGGTTCGTGCCGGCAAGGTGAGAATGGCTGTAACAGCACTTTCTTAACATCAGGTGGGGTGAATTAATTTGCTGCGCCTTGTATATTAAAATCATATTGGTTGTCGGTTGGTTCTCATCTTGAAGCAAAGATCGCCTCGTTCGTGAAAAAGTTTTCAAACTTGTTCTCTCAGGAAGTGAGCGGTTGGCGCATTTTACGTTGTCTTTTGAAACTAGCATCTTTTCATCATCTTCTTTTCATCATTTTAATCCCTCTGACTTTATTATAATTTGGTATAAAAATATATTATAACCTAGACCAAAATAGGTTCATATATCTATCCTGCCTTAAATTATACATACCAGGCCACTCAGAAAGTTTTGCGAAAAAAAAGTTTTTATGTATAAGGCACTTGTAATTATTTTGAAAACTTCTATTATTCAAAAGTAAAAATACCACTGTTCGATTTTCTAATTTCCCTCCGCATTTTATCGAGAGCCAATCATTTTTTTCTTGTCTCATTAAAAAATGGATCTGCATCGAACATTTTCGTGCTATGCCTTTTTACGATTTAAAATGTGTCTTAAAACCTGATGAGTCATTTGATGATGACCTTCAAAAGCAACCGTCTACCGCTGGTGTAGCGAATGACGAGTTCAAACGCGGTCGTCTTACTTTGGGGGATGGGGGAACAAAGGAGAGGTCGTCCGAAAACGGCTGACACCAAAGAAAGTGAGCTGGCAGTAAAAAATTTAATTCAAGAAAACAGACGAATTACGTACGAAGAGATTCAGCATACTATGTAGATTAGTTCAGGAAGTGTTCACAAGATTATGCACGAGCACCTTTGCGTAAGGAGATAGTTTACCGCTGGGTGCCGCACAACCTCACCGAAGCTCAGAAGCAGTTTTTTCTGCAATGAGCAACAAGCGACCACCACCAGGCTCCGCGGGGTCTTTCTTCACGACAACACGCCCGCGCACTCTGCGATCAAAACCAAGGACTTCCTGGACTCCACACCAGTCAGTCTTGGGACACCCTCCTTACAGTCCTGATTTGGCTCCGTGTGACTTCTTTTTATTCCCTAAAATAAAAAATCTGTTCAAAGGGATACAGTTTTCATCGCCGGAAGAAGCGCTAGCAGCGTTTGAGAAGGCCGTGGAAGAGGTATCTGCGGAGGACTGGAAAAAAATGTTTTTAAAATTGGTTCAGACGCATGAAACTTTATAAAGAGGCTGATTGGGAGTTCTTTGAAAAGATTTAATAGAAATATTTTTTTCATAGAAGTTACTTTTTAGTTTCTCAAAACTTTCTGAGTGTCCCACGTATATATAAGATAGATAGGGCACGATGTGCTATTTTTCACTTGAATTGGAGCGCCTGTCTGGGGAAGCAACCTCCACCTTACAGAAAACAGTAAAATACCACTTTTTGTGGTGAGTAGGGTTCCGCAGGGTAGAGGATTGGGTTTTGACCGGTGAGGACTGCTGAAGCAGCACACTTTCTGCTGCATCATCTTTCTCCGTGACAAGACTCCACTTACACTTAATATCAGCTGGAGTAATTTGTTGTGCCTAGTTTATACATAAAAAAAACTGTGATTAAAAGTCTGATAATCACCTAGGTAATAATAATACCTAATATTTATTTGCAAACAAGAATTAGAGTAGTAGGAGGATGCTGTACGAGGTAATATTTTCTGTTTCCTACAGTTTGTCGGTTTTCGCCGTGAATAAGTGTGGCTTAGTGAAGATTTATACTACAAGTTGGAGCGCGTCACAAAGTTTAAAGTTTTTGGTTTATGCTGCAAGGAAAGTAGAATAAATGCGTAAAATGGCGGCGGTTTTGCATAGATTTAAGTGTTCCTATTCTATGTAGTTTATAAGTTCAAGTTGCAAAACTAACTGGATTAGTATGTAAAATATTATAACTTTTTATTATTAATAACTAATAATATAATGTAAAGGACGGTTCGATGTTGTCCAATCACAGAAATAAATCCGGGATCCATAGTAAGAAGTCCGGAAGTAACTCGCTTTGTCTGTCTGTCTTTTATGATGAATTTTAGTCTAGAGTAGATCTCGGCAAAAACAAGTCTAAAGAAAATGACAAATTAATTATTTTGCGTAGACGTCTATAATACCTACTTAATAAACTAGTATACACATACCTGTAAAACTAAGTAGTTTTTTTTAATCTCAATGTTTTTTAAACTATAGAAGTTCGAGATTTAAAGTAAAAAATGTTTTATAAAATACAAAATTAAACTCTTTTTCGAATGCTTTTTATTTCGACAGTATATCTTGTGTACTTAAAAAGTCATTGTTAATTTTAAAAGTGTAATACAGAGTTTTGCAGGCCAGAGTAGTATTCTGAATTTGGTTTGCAAACACAATTCAATGTTTATATTGTCACATAACACGAAATAAGAATTCTTACAATAAGTAGTACAATTTGGTAGCCCTTTTCTTACCTCTTTCAAAAGTTTATCCCTAAGGGACAATCAAGTTTTTGCCTTCACTGACACATTTTTATTAAATAAAAGCTTTTATTCAGGCATACAACAAATGATGACTTCATTATAGATATTGGCATAAAATATTTGCAGGTTAGGAGAATTTGTTTGCGTTGCTATAATATTAGGGTAATATAAATCATATAGTTTAAAACTATCATATGTGTCATGTGATAGTTTTAACCTATATGAAGTCGATATTTGGTAAGCAGATATTTCTTGACGACCCCTTTATAATGTAGCAATAAATGCTATATTTGTAGTTTAAACAGCCAAGTACAGGAGGCCATTCACCTTAAGGGATGGCTATGGCTTTCGATTTAATTTTGTTATTTTTGACCGCTGAAGGTTTTCAAATGCCCGCAACGCAAGAGTGGGTCTTTTGTACTAGTCACAAAAATATTAAAGAAAATGAGATTCAGGTATTTAAAAACTTTCGGCGGTCAGAAATAATAAAATGAAATCGTAAAGTGATAGCCATAGCAATACCGTTAGGCGTTTGACCCCCAGGTCGGGTTATCCAAAATTGACAATGTCTTCAACTTACTTTGAGTTTTATCTAGCTCGATATTAGATTCATAGTCAAAAGTTCATAGTAAAATGCAAACAAGTTAAAATTTAAGAAAGTAATAGAAAATACAGAATTTTATTAACCACAACAGAAGCACAGTTTCATTCGTAACAAACATAGTTGATTACAGAATAAAACAAAATAGAGAGAGGGATATTAAGAAAATGGGGTGCGGTTATTTAAAACTATTATATTTATGTATAAAATAAGGATAGTATATGTTCTACGAGCAATGAATTGCAGACTTATTTTTTTCGAACAGGATAACCCTTGACCGCTTTTCCATTGCAAAAAATACAGCGCATAGCATTCGAAACAAATATGAAAGCACTTTACCGGTCATTCGATATTACTGACGCATCTAACGGCAAAAATATATGAAAATAATTCTCAAATCGAAAAGCTATTTACACTAACTCGTCGAAGTTGTACAGTTATTTCGTGAAAATTGTCTGTCTTGTTGTTGTAATATTACGAAATATATCCGATAGCTGATAATAACTAAGCCTTTATCGCTTTAGTTTGTAAGGAATATGTATGTACTCTACAATTCTACATACAAATAAAGTATACTTTAGAATATACTTCGTTCGTATGCAAAATTTGGAACAAAAGCAGTATTTATGATATTATGAATGCCTATTGTGTCATATCGTTACTCCAAACAAAGAGATAACGTTTAGATTTTTTTATTTTTTAATTAAATAGAATGCTGGTTAAAGTGACGCGCTGTCTTGTTCTATTGCTATCGAAAAGAAAGTGAAGGCATGGACTATAATACAAAAAAACTTAATGTACATCCTACGAGGAGCCGTAGTCTGCAGTGCATTAATTACCCACAAATTATTGATTAAAACTGCTTCAGGAACAATATTTCATCTTTAACTTCGATCAGAGTAGACTATACTCGTGTAACGACAAGAAACTTATTTTCTACCACGTTATGAGTATTTTAAAAAAGGGTTTACAAGGGTTGTGAATACGGAATACTAGATGAAATCGGTCGCTGTGATAGTAACCTACGTGTTTGTTATAAATGTAGATTGAAGAATGCTATTGCGAACATAAAGTGCGATATATCATTTATACTTTACTAACCCTGGCCTTACCTTGGTAAGAGACCTTACTTATTAGAAAAGCTCAACATGTGAACATTATTTGTCTTGTGCAAAGGTTAGGGGACACGGGAAAAATCAAGTGTGCCTTCTCTCCGTGAAATTTAATATACGTTCTACTAAGGCTGGGAGTGACAGGAAAATATGTGCGTACACACTGATACATACCTCCACGCCATATTATATCCCTTGCTTCCTATTAATCCAAAGCTTTCATGTTGCAGCTTAAAAGAGTTATTAGTATTTGTACATTTGCTTCCATACCTACACCTCAACAACAATTAGGATTGGATAGCTGATGGATTGGCAAATAAAGATTATGATCATGATGTTTTCTGAAAACAATAGTGACAAGTCGTCAGACTATCGCCTGCAATCATTGCTGTTTCTGATTTCACGATTTCACGGCGCGATTTTTATGTGAAAAAGATCTGAAACAAGCATATGGCCCGACTGAAGGTAATTGGCAACAAGGACGCCCGCTTCCGGAATAGCTTATAGTCGTTTGCGATATCGTTCAGTAGTCACTTGCACTTTGCCCACTCCCACTTAATCCTACCCTTCCAATCCTGTGGGTCTTGCAACCTTACTGACAGCTGTCTGTGAACCATACTATCCAAAGGTACAGTTGTATGTCATTTTCTAGGCCGCCTTGTATCCTTTTTTATACTGTCTTGCCACACTTAATAATTGTTTAAGCTGCCATTACGAGACAGGCTGCAGACCGCAAACTACAACGACACCATTTGTTTCTATGAATCTCTATGAAATAAGGGCTACCGTTTTTTGTCTCACCAGATGGCGCCACTGTTGAGTGAGGTCTGAAGTGTGGCTGTTAAAGTTTATTCATATGCGCGTGAATTCATTACATTTAAAACAACAGAACCGAAGCTTAAAAGTTATCGGCCATAACACAGTGCTGCGTAGTTCCATTTTGTTCGGAAAAAGGAGGACATAAGTTTTCGAATGAAAAAACTGTCTCAACGCACTGTCATTCATTGCCCCGTGACTCATATTTGCCATAATTACTCTGAGTTATTGCTAAATATAAATATTATTTTAATTTGAAATACACCTGCATAGTCAACTCACAAGCAATGGCATGATATTTTCGAGACCTCACACTATACAAGTCGCCTTCGGTTCCTCCTACACAGGCCACAAATACCAACACTTCACACCCAGCAAACTTGCACACGAGTTTAGCATTGGGCAGACACCGCACCCGTAGGATAAGAGTGCGAAAACCCGGTCTACACATGACACGCTATACCAGGTACAGGTACGTACCTGGGCGTTTTTCCCCGCCCTCCATGACAACGGCTAACTAGAGCCCAGGTCCGAGTCACAGAGACGCCCTCTAGTTGAGCCAACCCCCACAGGTTCGAGTGGTCTACAGGCTTTAGACGGAGAGGAGACTGCCCCTGTGGGGAAATGCCATCCACCTGGAATACCTCTAGAGGCACTCGCGAGTTCACGGCTTGAGGTCCCCCTAAGATCTCGCCATCCCCAAACCCGGTGACGCTGTAAAGGCCATCTGCGACCAACAGCAAAAACCATTAAAAAAACTACACAAGCGCCTCTAGCGGCGGATTTATACGCGTTTGTTCTCATTGATTTCGCGGGGCTATACTGCGGCTTGCAGCTGCGGCGTGTATGGCAGACAAATACCATATGCACTGTGTCACAGTCGCGGCATGTTGCAGCGGCATGTTGCCGTGCTTGGAAAAAAACACTGTCGCTAGCCGCAGTGTCGCCTGCGGTTGCAGTCTTGGAATTGTACCTTTTTAAGTGTAAAACCATATCTATTGTCTTATGTCTAATTTATATTGTTGTTTGTTTAGGTCAGTGGTGCTTGCAGTTATCATACTGATGCTGGCGGCGTCTCTATATGAAGGGTACTTAGAGCGGAGGTTTCGGATAGCGCACGAGGCCGCCGATCTGGAAGTGGCCAGCGACGACAATCATAATCACAAAGTAAATAAATTATAAATATTTCCAACACTCCCACCAATTAGCCTAGCCCCAAAGTAACCACTAAAATTCTTGTGTCATGGGATACTACAATAGTACATTAATAAGTATATTCTTTTATTTAAAAATAAATATAAACATCCATGACTCAGGTACAAATGCTTGTATTCATCATGCTAATATTTGCCCCACCGGGATTCGAACCCGGTACCTCACGAGTAGGCAACACCTTAAAATCCGGCATACATACCACTCGGCCACGGAGCTCGTCAGATTAACTAACTAGTCCTACTTCCTTTTTTATGTTAAAAGGGTGGCAAACAAGCATACGGCCCACCTGATGGTAAGCAGTCACCATAGCCTATAGACGCTTGCAATACCAAAGCTATCACTCGCGCCGTTGCCTACCCTGACCCAATCTCCTACCCCGTGGAGCCCTGGAACCTTACTACCGAACTGTAGTCTTCTATAAGGTGGAGGTTACTTCTACAGACGGTCGCTCCAATTCGAGCGGAAATTCCGCTATGCCCTACCCCTCTTAAAACCTACTTACATCATAAACGTGAAAAATTGTATGGATGTTTGTTACACTTTCACGTTAAAACGGCTGAACGGATTAAGAGGCTCATATATAGTTCATTACCTCGGTTGACTTCACACACAGGATACTTTTAAACCGATTGTGCAACGCAAGCAGCCCGAAACGCGACGCGCAGTGCTCCATACTCTATTTGAAATCTGCAAAAGAATTTATTTCAATATTAAAACAAAAGAAAAGTACGTTTGATAGGACTTGTTCAAATATAAATCTTTAAAAAATAATCACTTGGCATCGGCTTGAAACCTTACAAGAAACAGCCTGTGTGTAAGTGTAACTTAAGAAGGCTTTTGGGCATTTTTGCATGCATAGTTTGGGCTTTTATTTTTTATATACAGAGTGTAAAAAATCCTATGACAAAGACTACGAATTCTGTACACCCCTATTTTTAAGAAAAATAATACAAAAAAAAAACCAGTAAGCAATGTATAGCGCGCCGCGCTACTATGGCGCTAAGCAAAGAATGTGCTTGTGTGTGCTTGTTTGTAAGTGCGCCGATAAAAAAGTTTGATAATAAAGTTTTTAAAATATTAATGTGAAAATCTTGAAACAAAAATTGTGACTTTGACCTTCGATATCTCCATAACCATAAATTTCCCAGGTATGGTCCAGAAGAAAAAAATGATCGCCATGATGTGCAAAATACGTGGCCTTCGACTTCGTTAAATGATTTTTTACACCCTGTATGTTATTATTCTTGTCTTTTATATGTTATACAGCAGTCCTATTTCTACATAGTTCTTTCCCTATTCTCAATACTTAAGAAACACAAAGAAAAACTTTTAAGGACCTGCGCCGCGTTATGCGGGAGCATGGACGTTCGCTACGCGTGTTTGTTTCATGTTATTTCATAGAGCAGCGCTGCATGAGGCGGTTCTCCTGTCGCAATGGCCTAAGCTGCGCTGAGGATTATCTATTAAAGCACAAAGAAATTCACACTATATCTCATTATATAGCACTTATGTAAAGGGGTTCAAGTACACTCGCATAATTTTTCTACGCTCACCCACACAGACTGTACTTCCGTTCTCTTTAAAAACATTCATTTAGTTTTTATAGAAGACTGGTTAAAGACTAATGACATGAAAAACTACTAAGTAGGTATTTTTATTAGATTTTATCCGCATTTTGGTATTGATTTATTTCAATCATTTTAAAAACTAAAATTGTCTTTAATACAAATCTACCCTGTCCTTTATTATTTCTGGATGTTTTTAATGTCAGAATTTCCATCTCCAATAAACGTAGGTCTATACAAGCAAAGATAAATCCTAAGTAAGCAGACATGAATGTGTTAATCATTGACATGATATCTTTTAAGTCCAACACGAGTCGAGCTACGCTCTCTAAAGATCCTCGTAGTGCTACGTGCTTGTATTTTCTTTCAAGAGTGTATCAACTTACAATCTCGCTTAAAACTTAAGCGATTGAAGTCTTACGAAAACTATATTGTTGTGTTTAAGTTATTTCAGCATGTAGTTAAAGTGGATTAGGTTTTTTATTATTTTAAATCTTTTAAGCTTACATACTCTGCAAGGACTACTTATATATTGGGACATTTAAGTATTTATCTGCAAAATCTACAACATTATGCAAAAAAAGATTTGAGAGAAATATGTCAAGAGGTAGTCAAAGTAAACTACTTAAATTACTCAGAACATACTTCATGAAAGTGATTCGGACAGACGTCTGTGGAGTTTGTAACTGACAATTCGTTAATGACTTTTTAACATTTAATGGTGTAGTATGGAGATCTTTTATTCATATAATTTAGTATACTTGAGTGGTAGGCTGGCTTCATCGAGAATCTGCTGTCGATCTAGCACGGTGATATAACGGAGAGATTTATGTAATGCTAAATCCTTTGATGATTTACTCTCTAGATCGAGAGCGTGGCATCGCAGATGCGTTAAACATAAAATATCCCACCTGTTAGGGTGTAAGTCGTTTCTCGTTACTTAGTGTTTAATGCAACGCTGAGCGATACGCCAATTTATCGAGTTTCATGTTAAAATTATTGCTTAAAAAATAATATCGAGTTGCGCGATAAAAGTTTGCCAAAATTATAAAGGACGCATAAAAACAACCAACAATGTCACTTACCATTGGTAAGTAACTCATTATTGACCTTAAAAATAAAACTGTGTCATCATAATAGTTAAAAAAATTACGATTTCATCTTGACATTTTCAAAGTGATGTCAGTGTCTCATTACATAATTCCCAAAAAAAGTAAGTCGTTCGTTCACTTGTTTTTCTCGGTGTCATCGAAAAAAAGGGCAATCGCTCATACAATATTTTACCATTTCCTTTGTGAAGTTTTATTTTCAATCAAAATATATACCGATTGCAGCGGAGCGGAGCGGATGGAAAGTTTTAAGCTATTGCATAGCTTTTATCGCGGGCTTTGAGTGCGGCGACCGAATCAAGAAATTCCGTAACGAAAATAAACCTAACACCCCCCACTCCGACCGGTTTAGCAGTGCGGCATTGAAAGCCGTGCATCGTCTAACGTCGTTTCAGTTCGGCAGACTTCGGCACGGTGTTTGTGTACGTGCGACTAGACGTATGCGTGTAGACTAGCTGCTAACTGCTCATAACTGATTCAGTCTCTTTTAGACATAATGCTAGGTGAGACAGCGTACTTTTTGGCCGCGTCCACGAGTGAGTTCGAGCCCGCGACTAGTTGAACCTTAACGTGCATGTATATGATACGACTGTACGAAGCTCGCACGGATCGAGACGAGCTGCTCCGAAATCGGACAAATACGTAAGCAGCTGTTTGTGAGAAAGTATATAGGTATCTTTCATCTATGTACAACAATGAATAGCTGTACGCGTAAAAGTGTATAAAGTGTTTTAAATATGATTTGTGTTTCTTATTTCAGTTACCATAAACCTATAGTTTCAATGATAAAAAATCCTGAAGAACCTGCATGTATTGTAAGATAATATATTATGACTTGCTTTTATTTAATAGTTAAGTGTACGAAGAATTGCACCATTAAAACTAAATTATAATTCATATAAAGTTAACACGATTGTAAAACAAATTTTTGCGACACAGAGACATGTATAATATGTTAAATTTTAAAGATAAATAATATTAAACAACTAAATTCAAGACCTAAATTATTTAATTAAAAAAAGGTCCATTTTGCTGTATCTTAAAATAAGTATATATATATTTAATATTCAAGTATAAATTACGTTTTCAGATGTTTCACCATCAATGATTTTTAATTGTGTGAACAATATACTAATTTAGATTTGATTAAGTTTACCCACTTTTTTGGGGAATGTGGCCTAACCTGGTATTCAAACTAACCTTACGCATGTGCGCCGAGACAAAAAGAATAACATATCGCTGACATTTCGCGAGTGCTAGATAAGATATAAATAGTAAATAATCAAAGGCTAAATCATAGCACGGAAATGGGATGCAACACAGGCTATGAGCACAGAATTTTATGATCATCTTTAATAAAAATAAGTAAATGAAAACCAATATTTTAAACAATTATAAGTTGATAATTTTGTACATAACAAACACATCACACGTTCGAGTTGGCTATTTGAACTATACGGGTACACTTATAAACTTATTTGAATCACTCGACTTATATTTGTTCACGTTTTCGGTTATGAAACAAAACCAAAAATCTTAACCATCTAGCAAATGAAAATTTGGATGCAAGGTCTACGTGGAATAAGTAATGTGAAACAGAATATTAAAAAAAACGTTGGGTCAAATAAATGTCATCATTATCAAAATAATGTAACACTTTTGTAGTCATTTGAAAATTTTACGTGTTAATTTTCCTATAAGTTCCCCGTCCTTGGCTCAAAGTTTTTCCGGGTAGCCTCTGTTCTATATAAGTCTGTGCATTGTCTTGTCTTGATCTAGATAAATTATTTGCAGCAGATTTAATGCTTCTTACTTACGTTTCATTAGAAATATATTATGAGCTAATGCAACACCTACATATTGGTCACATACACGACCTGCGGAACTAAGTTCCGCTTTTTTACATTTTTAAAATTTCATTATTTTCTAAGCTATAATAAAAGTTGGAGATTTAAAATAAAAAACGTTTTATACCGAAATATCAGCTTTCTTTGTTTCAAAAGTATATCTTGAGCACTGAAAAAGTTATTGCAACTTTAAAATTGTGATACTTAGTTCTGCAGGCCAATGTAGTATGATGTCCGTGTGTCAAAGAGATTACAACCTAACTGAATTTTTATAGCAGGCGTTCAATTCAATGCAGACCATCTGCCTACCTAGACACTAAGTGGTACATAGACATCCGAGCACTCACCGGGCTTAGTTGGGTATCCAACCAGACCGGCGCCAAGGAAATTCTCAGATAACCGAGGCTTTTAGTCGGATCAGATTTTATTTTCACTTTACCGCGCTAAAACACGTGGTCATGGTACGATTCCTTCGACAATTCATGAAATAATGAATGATGTATACTTATGTAATTTTCTAACCCCAATTTGCAACTAACGATATCAGTGAGTCCAATAAAGATGATAATTTCCTGTCGTATTAAGGCCTATTTCACACGCTAAGCTTCCACCGTGACGTGACATAACTGATACTAATAACATATCATAACTTAATGAATAGAGGTAATAATGATGATCATTAGGCGTTGTAGGCTGTAATTTGAAACATTGTTTCTCTTCTTGATTGCAGCACGGCACCGCACATGTCGATGGGAAACTGAGTGAGGATAAAGACAAAGAACTTCGGAGGGAGCCTTGTGGTAAGCAGAATTAATCTTAAGTCGGACTTTAATAAAAATTATGAAGAAACCACGAGGAGCTCGATGGCGCAGGTGCATAGCGCGTTCGGCCTGCGATCATGAAAGTTTAGCAACTTTAGCAATGGTCGGTGATTGGATAGGTGACCAAAACTTATTATCTCGAGCTCCACCGTGCTTCGAAAGGAATGTTAAGCCGTTGGTCCTAGCTGCATCTGCAGTAGTTAGCACCGACCAATCCGCACTGGGCCCGCGTGGTTGGTCAAGGCCCGTTCGGCCTGTTCCATCCATAGGTAAGGCTTGTGCCCCATCAGTATGGACATTAATAGGCTGGTGATAATAAGGAAACTTGATATTTTACCATATCCACGTTACATTATGAAAGTTGAAGTAAAAATGTGACGTTCTCTTTTCACGGTTATTTTGTTCACCTTGCATGAGTTAAAAACAATTTTGTGACTTTGTTATGCTTTACTCATGAAAAGTTGTTCTACTTAGCGAAATGTTGGGTGTCCTTTCAATGAACGTAATATGGTTACCGTTTCCTTATTAAGTTAGCGGCCTGCATCTGTGGCTTCGCCCACGCATGGAATGTTACTTACCGTAATTCAATCTCTCGGGAACATTTCTCTAGTATTAAAGGCATCCTCCTTCCTGTTTCGAAATGAGAGAGAAAACATAAACATAGATTGTGTATTATGAAGATAATAAAAACTTTTTAATAGGCAAGTTTTGACAGCTGCGTAATCGTGTCGTCAAATTTTGTATGAAAGGAGCCGTTTGACATAAACAGTAATTAAACAAAACAAAACATTGTAACAGTAATTATTTTTTGTTTAAAAAAACGGTCATTGTACGAAAGGGTAAGGTAAATTTTAGATATTTCTGCAAACATTACAGGGAAAGTAATTTGATACTTAGCTTGTTCGACTGTTTTCAATAACCTATCCTAGGCAGGAGATAAGCCATACTTTAAGGAAAAAACACGAAATTGACTCTTATTGAGAATAACAAAGTTTAATATTATTCTCATCATTCTCTCGTCCGTCACTAAATTTCAGTTTTTTATGAACTATTTTAATCACAAACGCAAAGTGTGATTCATTATCATCAGCGTATTAATGTCCCCACTGCTGGGGTACAGGCTTCTCTATGAATGGAATAGGGTGATTGGGCCATGGGACACGGGCCCAGTGCCAATTGGTGGGTGCTAACATCTACCGGGACTAACGGATTCACGTGCCTTTCGAAGCACGGAGGAGCTCTAGATAGTAAATTTTCGGTCACCCATCCGATGACCGACCACTGCGAAAGTTGCTTAACTTCTACGATCGCAGTCGAACCACTTGCGCCGCCGAGCTTAATTACAACCCCATCAATTAATACTCTTATGTACATTTAGAATTTCATTTGATTGTTTGATTAGCGTTAGACAAATGAGGTAAAGTTATGGGCTATAAAACCGTCAATCGCTGGGGGCGGCGGCACAATACATAAAAGAGCAGTAACTCAGCCGTTTTCTTGAAATAAATACCTAAGACTGAGCGGAGCGCTAGCGCGTTGGTACCTACAATATTAACGTCGCCATTATTAAATATTTTATATTAGTGCCGAGTACGAATACCACGTTATGGAATCGAAACGCAGTCAGACAGCACGGGCGGCGCGGCGCAGCTAACTTAACTCGGCCAACGACCAGTTTCGGCGGCGCGCAACGCGGCTGGCACTGCGTAGATTTGTCTTGCCAAGATTGGTGAGCGGCTGTGTAAATGACTTTTGTCTGTGTGCGTGCGTCGATTCGGGCGCTAGTATGAAGTCAAAGTACTGCTCTTGTATGTATTGTGCCGGCGGCGTGGTAGGAGGCGGGCGTGTAATAGACAGGCGCGGCAGGCGCCACCGACGATGACGTGTCAATGTCATAATTTGCTCAAGCATCATAAAGTGTCAAGCCCCGATCATGCCCCAAAGGAAAGAAAGCTTATAGGAATAAGCATTTCTTCGAATAAAAACACTAACGGCACTCATGTAGTGATGGTGAACCGTGAAATAATATGCAAACATACATTTTTGTTTTTCATTTTATGAAGGTATGTTTGCAAAATAACATGAGCCGTGCTTTTTGCCCTACATAATAACTATTAACTTAACGTTTTGCAACATTTATAGAAAAACAAAAGTCTATTTACAGTTGATGTCAACATTATTTCCTGAATGTTACCAACTGTCCTTATCCTCCAATGCATATACTTTTCACGATCCCTTTTGTGAATTTTTGTGAAATTCCCTTTTGTATTTTTTTTAATTTTAAGGTATTTAACTGCTAGATGTTTAAATGTAAGAAAGTATTAATTACTAAAAAAAAACCACTCGTTCAGGTTTAAAACGGGATAGGAACTCGCAACTTCCACTACCCGGAATAATATTTTCTTTATAAATTTCTTAACCTACTTCTAAGAATAATCATCAATTGCAATGAATAATTTACTAACCATTTCTAATTCGTTGACTTGGATCAATAATTTCACTTTGTACATGCATGCATAATATTAATTTTGTACCAGAGTGCCATATTGCAGAGTTTGCTCTATCGGGGACATTGCAATAACCTCATTTAAGTTTCCTAGTTCATGTTGAACTTTGCGGTCAGCGACAACCTGTGAACTCAGTTCGAAGACTTTAGTAACATCGTTCATTAAATTAACGACACTTACCTACTTTATGATTGAGTTGGGGTCGTTTGATTTTTAATATAATTTAATTAAATTTTATTGAAATGTTTCAGTAAAATTTTATAAAAAGTATTTTTTATAGCGAGGTAAGCAAATGACGCTACCCCACCTGATGTTAAATGGTGATAAAGTCCAAACGCGGAGATAGCTGGTAAGCAGTTATAAACTGCTACACCAACCATCCTCACCTTGCCGGCCTGCAAAAATACTTCTTCACGCCTCTCTTAAAGGTCCCCAGATTGTAGGAAGGAGGGAACACGTGCGTGTGTAAAGAAATTTGGTGACTCATTTCTTTGTCGTACTATTCGTAAGTTTCCACTTAAAATTTATTTAAAGAAAATTCTTAAAGAATTTTTCAAATTTCTTGTATATGGTTATTGTATATAAACACACAAAAACAACTAACAAAATGTAAAATTTCCGTACTAAAGTAAAGTTTGACAGAAACGTACTATTAACTCCAGGAGAGCGTAGACTGCTATCTAATAAATGTTCGATATCGGAAGAAGCATTATTGATACCCTGAACTTTTAGCTAATATACAATTTTGTACAAGAAAATGACATACCAGAATTACTCCGTCAGTTGATCTACTCCATTTCGTCCTAGCTTAGCATCCTAGCTCATGCAGCGAATGCAGTATTGCAGTACTGACTGGGTTATCGGTTTTATATTACGAAACTGTTTAGCAGTAGGTATTGACTTTTTCTTATATTCTAAAAGCGTATCTTTAAATATTTTCCAATTAAAAAAAATTTTTTTAATAGCCTCTGTGCAATAGTAAAATACGATCTAGTATTTTGTTACCATTATCTAGGTTTGGTCTCAATATCTACTCATGTAGCTTTATAGATAAAGCCTTTTGTTACGTAATCATAATATTTACTGTCAACGTTTTTTTTTGTTTTTCTGAAATTGAATTTGACTAACAAATTAAGTTAATTAATACGCGTATGTACATTTTGCATTTCATTCGACCGATGCCACACGTTGTTACTTACATGCAAAAATTTCATAACATGACGTGATGTTATGTATTCTTACATCAAGGTAATGTGCAATTTCCTTGGCCAGTTTTGAATTGATCAATAAACGTTCGCTTTTGCCGTCATCTGAAATTGCATTCACTCGCTTCCGATTCATATTATAATGTTTATCCTCGATCTCATTTTACTTATCATTTTTTACATACCTAAGGTGTAATCGGTTCCAACGACGATTCCATTAATCACACTAATATTTTAAAGGCGAAAGTTTGTGAGTGTATGTTAGTTACTTCTTTACGTCTAAACGGCTGGAGCGATTTTAATGAAATTTGGTATAATATTCCTAATAAGCCACGGGTAACACCACGGGGTACAGCTAGTAAACTATATACGAGCTTTTTAAATTCAAACTAAACTTAAAGTAGCCTCGAATTATTTACTTTGATATTTTGGATAAATAGCTAGGTACTTCATAGGAAACACAAGCAGCAAAGAAATTCTATTCAAATCCATGCGGTCGTGTAATGAAAGTCAACTGCTTTGTTCGCGGGACTTTGTGATGGGCCGAGCGTCTGGTGGATGCTGAATTAGCGTACGCCTGGTCGTCTTACAATAGGAGGAGGGATGAAGAATTAATTTAATTACTTCTTTTAAAGCTTCCAGTAACTTTTTCTCTCTTGTATAAAAGTCTAAGGACGATTTTTGTAAGACTAATTATCATACTATGTAGATTCGTTCAGAATGTGCATGGATAAAAAGTAGGTATTGTTTATTTATGACTACTTTTGTTTTCATATCATAATTATCATTTATAACTATGTTAACTGCTCCGTACGACTCACCATCATGTGTAGTATTTTGCATCCAAGTAACTATCTATCATATTGTAAGTGTACGTCTGTCCGTCTCTCTGTACATTCGCGATGATCTCAAAAATATTAGAACAGATTTTTATGTGATTTTCGTTATCAGCTGTTTAGATAGTTTTTTTACGAAATCCGAGAACAAAAACTATAGTCTACACTAAAGTAAAGTAAGGACTAAGAAATCATTTCCAAGAACTAGGTAAATTGCTGTTACATCTATTGTGTATTCTTTTACTGTTTTGGACCTTTTTATTCTACCCAAGTCGTCATTATATGTTGGTTTCATTTCCACTTCATTGGAACTTAATTGAAATAAAATAGATCTGAGCGGGCCAGCTGTTTCCATCACAACGTCAGATTCATGCTCAGTCGATATCTTCAAAGGCAACTAGTTCGGCCAACCATAGTTTCACGCGGGTGTAACTTCACCGATTTGAGGGCCGTAACGAAATATTTTATGTAAGAATAGAGATAAAATTTCATTATTTCTACAAACAATAGAAATATTAAACGTTTTTCTTAATGTAATAGCAACTCATTCGAATTTAGTTTACGTTGTTAGCGACAATAAAAATACGTCAAAATTACTATGACTTTAAATTGAAAGAAAATTTTACTAGGAAATTCCACACCATCCAGGCAGCAAACGGGACTCGAACACTCACACGCTCCGCTATCCTGGCGGATGCAATGACCAATTATGCTACTGCGAATTTAATGGCAGTGCCGTGCAAGAAATACTAGAAAAAAATCTACACGGTTATTAAGATCGCGTTTGCATAATTGGTCAGTGCATCCGCGCGGATAGCGGAGGGTAAGGAGTTTGAGTCCCGCTTGCTGCCAAGACCGCGTAGAATTTCTACTAGTAAAATATATATATGTTGATCTGCCAAGTGAGGAATCTCTATCAATTACTGCACATATCTGTTGGGGTACAAACTCTTGCTATTGTTCGTCCATTGAGCGACATAATGAAATTAAATATCTTGGAGTTTTGCTGGACAGCAATTTATCTTTTAAACTCCATATCAATGTCCTTGCTGCAAGAATTCCCAAACTGATATATATTTGCAAGTCACTTAGGACAGTAACTGATTCATCACTCCTCAAATCCATTTACTTCTCTCTTTGTCAATCCTTAATTCTGTATTGCATTACATCCTGGGGTGGCGTTCCTAAGACAACTATACTCCCATTGGAGCGTGCCCGACGCGCATTTCTAAAAGTAGCTACATTCAAGCCGTTTCTGTTTCCTACCGATGCCTTATACTCATTCTGCGAAGTTTTATCAGTACGTAAATTATTCATCTTATATACATTAATACACCAACATTCCAAACTACCTTTAGATCTTTATATAGGAGAGCCTCGTCGCAACAAATTTATTTTCAAGAGTAAACTATTTAATAAATCTTTTAGCAAACGATTTCTACTTTTTGTAGGTCCTTTTATTTATAATAATGTAAACCGGAGGTTGAATATATATTCACTAAATTATTGTAAACTAAAACGCATACTCACTCAATTTCTTCTTGCACTGACTTATGAAGAAACTGAGAAGATGTTATACTACACATGACTTGATTCCTTACTCGTCTTGCATGAAAATTATTAACAAAATATATCTAAATGTTGGTATTCTTGTTAAAAAAGTTTTTTTTTTTTTTGTTAATGGAACTTAAATTGTCGTTTTTCATTTAAAGTCATATTTTCTAAACAATGTGGTATCTTGTAAATTTACTATATTGTGTCACTGGAAGAGAGTGGGTACTGAAGTCACAGGGTTTTCCTGTTTTGAGTACCCACAGATCCTAAGTTTTAAAATATCCTGTGCCTGTTATTTGTAAACCATATTGTATAAAAAAATTTGGGAATAAAAAAAATTTATATACTAGCTGTCCCAGCGAATTTTGTATCGGCATTAAAAAATAGGGGTTGGTGGTAGAAGGGTGAAAATTTAGGGTTGTATGTATTTTAGTACGATGTATCATAAAAAAATAAAAACAAAAAAACCCAAAGAAAAAAAAATGGTGGACCACCCTTAACATTTAGGGGAATGAAAAATAGATGTTGTCCGATTCTCGGACCTACTGAATATGCATATAAAATTTCACGACAATCGGTCGAGCCGTTTCGGAGTAGTTCAATTACGCACATCGTGACACGAGAATTTTTTATATTCGATATTATGTGTTACGACACCAATGCTCAAATACTCTTAAAGCCCGTTTGCTAGAGATTCCTTTGCATATTTTTTTTATATATAAATATATATACATATAATAAAACTAGCTGACCCAGCGAACTTCGTACCGCCCTAAAAAAATAGGGGTTGTCCAGTGGACAAAATTGTGAATCTAAACCATTCTCAGATCCCCTTGAACACACACAAAAAATTTCATCAAAATCGGTCCAGTCGTTTAAGAGAAGTTCAGTGACATACACACTCACAGAAGAATTATATATATAAAGATGGTAAGAAATTCAAAACTGTAGATTGAATAATTTTTTAAAAGAATACTTGGGGTGTGATCTACAATCGATACCGGAGCCAAAAATATAGTTTTCAGAATTTTTGTCTGTTTGTCTGTACGTCCCTATGTCCGAGATAAACTCAAAAAGTACTAAATGGATTTACTTCAAATTTGGCATGAATATTATTAAGAAGTTGGATCAACATATAGACTACATAAATTTTACAAAACTCTACCCCTAGGGGGGCAATACGGGGTTTGAAAGTTTGCATGAAAGTCCTATGTTTTTGGAGTAAGAGACTTGAAATTGAACATGAATGCTCTATAGATGGTGAAGAGGTGTACTAATAATGTATCTTAAGAAATAAACCTTTTGGGATCAAAAACTATGTGCAATAACTAACTCCACGCGTACGAAGTCGCGGGCGGTAATATATATAATGATGAACTATGACTGTTTTTTTTACCAGGTATGTGGGCGGAACTACTATTGGCGTTTTCGATTCTAACCAATGGAAGGACAATACTCAGCACACAGAAGCCTAGCGATGGCGCCTTGACCTGCTTACACGGAATCAGGTACAAAACAAAATAATAATAATAACAAGTTTGCCTGGTTGATCCTAAACCTGATTTTCGGTGTGGTTTATTGAGTAAAAGAGGGGAAAAAATAAGTACCTAATGAATATACGTACCGTTACCGAAACACACATATGAGCAACCTTTGCATGAAGACCTCTTTGTCTGTACTTCAATGATAACCGGAATACATAAACTTTTTTGCAACTGATTACTAAATTATGTACTTAATAAATTATATGAACTGTTGTAACTTTCCGCCTGTACAGAAATATTTAGAAATCTGCTCTCTCAGTAGATATAATACTGCATACAATTATCTCAACAGATTGATATTTATTCAGGTTTCTATCAGTACTTTGGGTGATAATGGTGCATACATACATGACTGTGTTCCACATTGGAGACAACAAGACTATGCGGGTGGTGACGGAGAGAAACTTCATGTACCAGTCAGTAGGAAACGCGTCCTACTGCGTCGATACCTTCTTCTTTATTGGGTTTGTATTTTAACATTTAATAATAAATAATAAAACTAATTAATGCCATGATTGTAGTGAAGATTTTAAAATTCCTAATTGGGCAAGTAAATAGTTAACAGATACGTATATTTAGGTATTAACATCTTACTTGCCTATTCAGAAATTTTTAATTTTTAATACAATCTTGATATAAATTCTGCCTGCAAATCTAAAGCACAAACTGCGAACCCAGAACATCATAAATTATGTAATTTATATTAATGTTTGTTGTAATTTGACTCATTTTATTTGCAGTGGACTCCTTGTCACCGTGCTATTTCTCCGGTCCGAAGACCGAAAGGCTAAGAAGAAAGACCAAACAGATAAACCGGACATTAACAAGAATGTAAATGGCTATACAAACTCTGCTCTCTCAATATCCGTGATTAGTCAGCAATCTTTTAAAGAGGATTTATTGGATAAGCCGAAATCTAGCATGTTCTCTAAAGTGGAGCTATTCAGAATGATGAAATCGTTTTTTGTTTTATTTTTCTATCGGGTTGTTAGATTAACTCCGGCTTACGCCTTCGTCATTGGTATCACTGAGATCTCCTTCAGGTATATCTATAACCAGGCTGTATTTGATCCCGCTGTCCCCGACCACATCACTTGCGACCTCTTTTGGTGGAGAAACGTTTTATACATCAACAACCTCTACCCTCACAGGGAGATGTGCATGGTATGGTCATGGTATATGGCTAACGACACCCAATTCTACGTCGTCGGCATTATACTTTTACTTCTATCTGTCAAGTGAGTAAAACAGTAACATAGTATGTGTTAATTGAAGGAACGCATTGGCTTTAAAATTCCTGCAGCTGATACTATTTTATAAATTCTTATCATTAAACTTTTTCTAAATTTTGTTTTTTCCGTAGGCACCTAAAACTAGCAACAGTATCTTTATTCGTGGTGATGGTGAGCTCTTGGGCAACAACGATATATATCTCCGTATGGTATCAGTATAAGGCGAAAATACAAGAACCTTTTGAGATGTTCGATCCACTGTATGACAAGCCCTGGTCGCGAATTGGACCCTACTTCATTGGTAAGACTTGAACATTTTTAAGTTAATTCATAAGTACTCATTTTCATAAATTGTAGGTTTGAAAACAATATATCGAAGAAAAGGTCAGAATCTACTCAGATGTATTAATTTACTTCCAAGTTTTCGATTAATATAGCGTTTTATTCTAATTTCCTATTTTTTTCTTTTCGAAAATGTATCTAAAAATCGATAACAATCTCCAAAGTTATTTAATGCTAGAATAAGCCTCAAAGATTTACAATATCGATACCGTTCCTATTTGAAACGATATTACGTCGGAATATTATAGATAAAGATAGTTGCGTATGATAGCAATGATCCCAAGACGTGCATAACATTTAAGTGTCCATGGTTTTATCAGTGTTCTCAGTGATCGACCTAAAAATCGGCTTTAGTTTGCTTCCAAGTTAGCATCGATTGTAGTCCCTTCGCGAGATCAACGTCATAAAGTCGGCCCACAAAAACCAAACGAGCAGCCGAATTATTTGATAACTTGCCTGGCTGGCACCATCCAGTCGAAATATCTTTTTGAAGTTGGAAGCTGTTTATTATCTGGCTGAGCCTAAATGAATTCCACGATATTTCATTAAATTATCGAGATCGCCCCCTTTGTTAAAATTACGGTTTGAGTGTTCAAAGGGCGATTAACACACTGAGTTGGAAGTTTTCTAATTAATGATCCACTTTAAATGAAGCTATGTCATTTATCTCCGAGATATTTGTTTGACGATTAGCAATCAAGGGTAAGTATTTGTAATACGATTACATGGGTTTGAAGTAGGTAGTCTACATATTATACTGCTTAGGTATCTAGAAATATATATAAGTACCATACTTCATAAAATAAGCAGCTTGATGTAATAAAAATCGATAAGAAAATGCCCCAACTGGTGAAACCTATCGCAGTAACTCCCAATAAGCCCAAAAGCTAGCTGTTTTACTTGGTAAATCCTGAAAAAGACTGGTGAACTTTGAAAGAGTTACCGAAAGGAAAGCCTTTTCTTGTATTTTACGGGAGATTCGGACGATGGTTTGATATAGAGATCAAATATTTTGTACATTGTATTAGAATGGTGTATAAGTAATAAATGGTTATCCAATTGTTTGGAATCAACATCATACAGTATTTGTACGAAAATAATTAGAAAAAATATTAGAATTATCCTAAGAGCTATCACACAGATAACAAAGGTGCATTTATTTTTATAAATATCACTCATAAGTCTAAATAAATAAAAATAATTTGTTAAAATAAGTCACAAAACGCCGCAATTAGGAACGTCTAATTGTCGTTTCTCATTTAATGTTTAATTTGGTAATAACGTAATATATCCTATTGCTTTCTCTAGAAGTAACGTATCACCATATCCATATATGCAGCTTAAACTTAAATAAAACCTAAAATATTTGATTCTTAGATTTTCACGCACATCACTCATGAAATAAAACTAGTTTTTACGGGTAAGATGTACTGAATTAATTTATTTATTGAAAATAAATTAATAATAATAAATAAATAAATTCAGTACAACTAACCCGTAAAATCAAGTTTTATTTAAAACTTAAAAGTTAAATGACAAATGGCCGTACTCAACACGTCAAATAAATTTATTGTTATTTAAAGTCACACACTGTCTTATTCTAATTTCATTTCATTTGGCCGTAAATACAATATTTTTAAACAAGTCCTTACAAAATGAATAAAATGTGAACATACACCTAAAGTGTTACTGAAAAAAGCCTATTCCAATGTACCCAACCTATACAAATTTAACTTGCCATAGGAAAATTTTAATCACGCAAATCGATTTTAACGTTTAATTTGCCTTTAATCAGCAATTAATAAAGTAAACACAATCAACTACTGTTTTAGTAATTTCATGTGAGCAAGTATGCTGATTGCATTTTCCCTATTTAGTCTGCGTATCTGTCGACGCTGGTATTTAGTTGAATTACATTACGTGAAAATTTGGATGATGCAGTAACAATACCTGATTGTATACCTACCTTTGTAATAAGTAACTTCTAGTGTTACAGATGCCTATGGGCGGTGATGATCACTTACTATCATGTGAGCCGTCTGCTCATATCCTTTAATAGAAATAATGTCTTAGTCATTTGTCTGAGGGCCCCGCTGAGCTTAATAAAGTAGAATGTAGATTAAGTGAAGCCGTGATATAATATTATGGGATATCCATACAAATATTCAAATTTAAAATTGATATATTTTTGATTTAGCTGAGCAGCTGAGCTATTAATGGTATCGCCAAACTTAGATAGACAAATGGACAAACTTCAAGGAATATGGTCACTCGTAGATTTATCCCTTACTACATAATTAATTGAGTTTTCAAATATAAATTGTGGCTTTGGTAGTTTAGAAATTGATACTTATGATGTTCAATTTCACTTTATCGATATGGCATGGCACCTTACAATTTTCAGGAGGTATTTATCCCAAAGAACAATGCCAAGTGTCCATAGTAACTTTGGCTTAATATAAAATGTTCACGGACAGCAATGAAATAGTTTTATTGTGTGCTGTTAATAACTAAAACATTTCCAGAACATTAAAATTTCCAAAGAACTTTGCGCAAAAAATACTTTGATAATACAATACTGATCCAAATTCACTATCACTGTATTCTTTTAAGTTATCAATGCCAGTGCGTCGTCTTGGAACTACTTGTCTCTTTCTTTTTATTTCAATAAATCAGAGAGAAACAAAATGGCAACTCAATTTATTTTTGTTAGATTTCCGGTCAGCTATTTGTTTATTAATAAATAAATTCTATTTGAGAAGTTCTAGAAAAAAGATAAATGTAATTTTAAACATTCGAATTTTCTATCTTTCTTGTTGTATGTAAAAGACATGTGTCCGTGCCATTTTATAATTAAAAGTTTTGTAAGCCAGAATCTGACATTGTTATTTATCCTTTATCATTTATCGGTCCATGCCTATATTCAATGCTATTACTTTGACGGTCAGAGCCTTTTTCGTTATAATGTATACCAAGTAGAAATATTAGTAGAAAAATGATGGACAATACGCTGCTAACTCTTACCACCGATAGTGAAATTCTATCAGCAAATAAGGCAATTTTGGACAGTTTGGAAATCGTAAAATTCATGAACTACACTACTCTTACTATTGCTACGATTACAAAATAAGCACTTCCATGATTAATAAAAAAAGAAATAATTGTAAAATAACAACCAGGGAGCGAATGTAACCAATTGCGAAACAACAAAGTCACATATAGTTCACGTAATTATGGCATGACATAGCAATTATTGTCTGTGATAACAGGTTGTCTTCATAGTTCACAAGCAATTAAACATTATAATTATACCAAAGTAGCAGCATTGTAGAGATATAGTAGCATCTAATACTAATTTAATTTGCTTAATAATGGTTTTATATAATATTGTGTAATCATACATATCGGCACGCCATATGTTATGAAATATCCAGGACTTGATAATATGAAATACTTAAGGCCGTGCTGTATGAAACATAGTTGAATTTGCTGACGAATGGTATTTTTTTCTATACTATATTAATTAATGTTTCAAACAACGCGGTCTTAGTCTAGTCTATAGACAGTAGGTCACAGCAAAATAGGTAATTGGGTTCAAGCCAGGTTTATAGAGGATACTGCCACTTCAGGCACATATCTCTGCTGTTTTCGTGATTGGATTCTACTTTAACTTAATACTTGGCGGGGTGGGGTAATTAGCTGTGCGATGCACAAAAACAAAATGAAAAGCAACAATTACAACAATATACATATTAATTTGAAGTGATAATGCAACATTCCGGACTGTTATTACATTGTCGTCCACGAGACTGTTACAAAGTTAAATTTAAAAAAAATGTGACTACATACATACTGGTTGTTCACATCTTAAAGCTCTTTAACTTTCAGTTTGAACTTTTCGAGTTTGACTAAAGTCGATGCTGTCACTTTCTTTGCGAAAACATTACCTATATTGAGACAACGCGTGACTTAATGAAGCATTGAATTAATTGGACGTTTCTGAACTCTTCGAGTTTGACTAAAGTTTATGCTGTCACTTTCTTTGCGAAAACATTAGATTGAGACAAGTGTGACTTACTGAAGCTTTGAATTAATTGGACGTGTATGAGTACTACAAATAGAGTATTTCTTTTTGGATCCTTTATATAGTCACAAGGTATACCTTAATTCAGTTGTTATTAATAATATAATATATTTATTTCACGTAAAAAAGTTTACATTAGAAAATGATCGAAAACCCCGTTTTAGGTAACAGATATAATATATTTATCTGTGCCAGGCCAGGAGGTTTGGCTTTTATATAGTTATTTATTTCTATATAACGTACATGTTATGATAAATGAGTAATTATGTAAGTAAAGACACTAAAATATTATATAGGTACATATCAGATGTGTTAATAGGCGGAAGCCTATAATAATACATATAAGCTAACATAAAAAAAAGCTATTTATCAGGTAAAATTTTCCTTAAGCGTGTTAAGATGGTTAGTCATTCGACCACAGCTGACAAATGCGTAAAGCATTAATTATTTTTGTGTAATACCGTCCGTGGTGCTAGTGGAACTTACGTCGAGTTTCAAAGTGTCTCCTTCTCATAGGTCCTGGGATCAAATGCGGCGAGGGCGTACCTAAAGTCATAACTGTTTATTTTATATGTATGATAAATTTACCTCTAGAAGTATTATAATATGAATTCAATCCGTTACCCTGGTATCCTATAACACAAACCTGACAATGCTTGTATTGGAAGGCCAAAGGTAAAGATCTTCTCTTCCTCCAGGTTGGGTGATGTTAGCTCGGGGCCGTGGCCTGTTTTTGTTCGGGCGTTGCATATATGAAGATTTACCCTCTGAATTACATTTGCGCGATGTAGGCTTCCATATTATTGTGATCGTAGCACTGCTAGCGCCATCTCTTGACAAAGCGAGTGATTACCTTACTTTGGGGCTACACTAATTGGGCCAATTAAATTATCCAATTTGCAGAGCGCTAGATGAGCTGGCGTGCTAAATTTGTATTGTGTAAAGGCAGTTAGACAGGTAGTGATCCAATCTAGTGCAATCGCATGGACTCTGCCGCACTAGCTCATCTCGTATACTAGCTAACGCACTAATGCTGCAATTACAGGTTGCTTTCCAATTACAGAGCATAATGCGTCTCAGTGCCGCACAATGCCGAATTATGCTGATGCTTAATTGGAACGTGAATTAGTTTTCAAATGCACCAGCAGAGTGCGCTAAGTTCAGTGTTGAAAAAAAAAAGTCAATGTTTATACCTTCATCCATATTTATATTTAATTTTTAACACAGTTTGAATAAACTTTGATTATTAAAAAAAAACTATGATGAAACGAAAGTTTTAATAATTTTTCAACAATAAATAATATTACTAACAATATCATAATAAATAAAACATTTCGATCAATGCCAACTTAAAGAAAAAGCACTTGTTAATTTTCTGTCTCCAAGTTGGTACGATTGCACGCATCACACGAAAGCATCACTTTTGAGAGTGCTCAATTGTGCGAAGCATTGCTGTAGTTGGAACACTCAACGTTAAGCATTATGCCGCATAATGCGCTATAATGCTGTAATTGGAAAGCTACCACAGTTTGTCTATAAAGTCGTCACATGATTGTTTGAGGAACTAACATTATTCATGTGTCTGGCAACACCAAACTTATGTACATCAGCTGTCATCGAGTTTCAGTTGTGGGACAGTTTTCCTATTGTATTTTTGATTGTTTTATTAAACTGTAATAAATTAAGACGAAACTACGCAGAAAGGTATAAAAATGAGTAAAGTAAATCGGAGTGGCACGCGGGAAGTGATTTTTAAAGTTTTCCAGCGATGTTTCGAAGACTACCAAGCTGGAAGAATTTTGTGGGATTTGGATGATGTTTATGGGCGAACAGCATCTATAACGGGTATGTAATCGTGTAACTATTTGTTTGTAATCTGCCTGAAGTTACAAATTTACTCAATTTACGATTTTGAGACCAAAAAAGGCATTGTTTACATTGCACATTTTTAGGTTAGATTGACATTGTAAATAGGTAATATTGTAGTACGACCATTTCTTTTGATACGTTATTATGGTTCAACTCGGTCAGATTTTCTAGCAATTTTGAATTAATTGCTTCATGTCAATAAGTTATTGTTTCTATTCCGTTACATATTTTTTTACTTTTTTTCAGGAAAATCAGAGAGTCGGATAGTCAACGAAGGTTTTAAGAATGATGGAAAGTTTGAAACTCCTGGGAAAACAGGCAAGGCCGACCAAAGAAACCATGGCCAGATGCTTTTAGTGAAGATACCTATCACTAATTTTACTAACTGCACATTTACAAATTGTTTCTCTAAATAAACTTTTTATATACTATAAAATGATTTTTAGTATTATTTTCTTAACAAGTGTGTTAAAAACTGTCGTATGATGATACTTGTGTGTATTGATGATTACCTAACGGCTCTGGTCTCAATGGCACCTCAGCGGTAATCACCAACATTACACACTTTTACACTATAAAGTACTATTTTATCTATAATAATTTTATTCTGATTCAATTATATATGCTTGGCTAAACTTTTTATAAGCATAGGTACCTACTACTATATATAAAACAGAAACATAATACGACTGTATAGTGTGTCTTATTAATTACCTATTTTACTTGAATGAACTGCTAGTATCAAAATCATTTTGGTCAGACTGCTCAGGGTTGCTACATGCATGTGTCACGACTTTATAGACAGACTGTACGTTGGTCGTTAAACCGTACTCGGGTGCACGAATGACATTACTCGAATTTGGGCACCTGAAGCAATACACTGAAATACGGGCTGGAGGATGGTGTCGGGTAAACAAAGAGAAATCTACCCGAATACGGGCGTACTTAACTCCGTTCATTTACACTGACCTAGTCATTTACCCGAATTCCATTGGCACTTGTATTCGGGCTTACATCTAAGTGTAATCGCGCCATATATTTCATGGTCTTTAGCAGTCTCGATTGCTAAACAAAAACTATGCTTGGTCAGTCAGTCGGCGTACGCTTAAATAGGAGGACGTATTTTTTATTTAAGATCAAAATGACGCTAAGGAAAGGGAAGTGATCTTAATGATAATAGATTTTTTAAATTAACAATTATTAAACTCGACACCATTGCTAAAGCAATGCCAAGTTTCTGGTGTTTTACTGGTGCCATATTCTTTTGGCGCTATTCGGAAGATGCGGTTTTGACGACGATTACTACGAAATGAAATAAGGTCATACCAACTAGCTTCGCCAGTCTTGTCTAGTCTTGTGTAATTCCTGAGGTCTTTTTATATCGCACTACAGCACCTTATCTAGCGCTCTGGAAAGTTGATAATGGTATGGGTACTTTAGAAATATTTATTTACTTATGTTTTGCAGGCATGATGGTCGGCTGGTACTTGCACAAGACTAGGTGCAAAGTTCACATTCCGTATTGGCTTGTAGCCGTCAGCTGGACGGGCTCGCTGGCGATCATTGGAAGCCTCATCTTCAGTATGGTGGACGGCTTCTTTGAGGTCTGGCCCACTGCGTTCTACATCAGCGTGGGACACACAGGTTTGTAAACTCCTAGAACGCGCATAATCAGAAATGGCATTTAATTTTCATTTATTAATACAATTGTCAGAAAGGGCGAACTTTTTTTTCTGAAAACATTTAAATGCCTGATGTGATTTGGATGTTTTGCTTTTGTTAAATTATTTTCATTACTAGCACAACATTAATAAAAATCATTAATTAAAAAATACGGTTTTATAAATAAAAAGATAAATGCCCTGCTAAAAATAAAACTTAGTGTAAACTAAATTAAAAAAATGCAGTCGGCGGACCTCTTAGAATAAAATGTGTTATGCAGAACGGTCTCGAGCATTAAACATTTATTTGACGTCTCCGAGTGCAGTGCGGTGTCAGCTATTTAACTTTATGCATCACGCTCATAAATTAAGTTATCATTCATCGCAATTTAAGAGTGCCTTGCGTTAGTCTTTCCAGTGAAGGCTTTTGTACAGTTATTTTGACAGCATAGTTGATTTCATTTAGGTCCGTTTTGTGCTTTTACAAGTCTTAGATGAGTAATCATCGTACAAGATGCGATCTCTGCTCTGTGTAATAAACGTAAATAAAAAAAAACTATGTTCTCTCCGACTTGCCTACGTGCGACAACCGCGAAGAAAGATTGATAGCTTGATAAAAAAAATGCGATGTAGAGATATCCACACACAATCCCAAATACAGGATAGTTAAATAAATATGTAGGTTGGCAACCATGCACATTTATTTTCGCACCCAAGCTCGGAAGAACTTATACTCCCCAAACAAAGCGCGGTTGGCGTTAAAACGCCAAGTTATTGTCTATCCCGTGTTATCGTATCTTTTGTTGTTCTTCATTGCCTCTTTGCCCACCGTACGTACTTTTTTGCCTCCACGGCAGGGATGCGCCACTATTGTTACGTGTATGGTATATATAAGGAAGTTAAATATCTAACGGTAACAGTAATGCTTACTAGCTATTTTATAAAAAAATAATGTAAATTTTAACAAAATTGCTTAAAGTCTCTTAGATATAAGAGAAAGGAAAAACTGTCTCGAAATAGAGTAAGTTTTTGGACGGCACTCTCTATCGGACAGTTGCCAGTATACAACTACAATCGATATACTAGAATATCAAAGTAGACCGTGACCGGCATAAATAAATTATATTGAGAAAAAGTAAAAGAAACGTGTCTAAAAACAATCTTGTATTTAAATGTTTTGAAAAGAATAAAATAAAATTTTCCGCTAAAACTTTTTCTATCAACTTATAACATCATTACACAATTTTTATAATATAAAAGCTTGTCGCGAGATTTACCTGTTTAGATAAACAAAATTTGATCGGATTGTTCTTATTTTTATTTTCATATTACCAGAACTCACGTTGGACGCGAAAATAACATAAATTTAACCAATTGCTATATGTACTTTCGAGTGCAGACAGTAAAATACAGACATATTCGGGAACTGTTTAAATAATGGGCTGGCAACATGTCTCTCCGTTTCCAGGCGACATCTTAAACTTACCTTATTCCAATCCGGTATCGTAGAGATGTAACTATTTTATGTTTAATATTGAAAACTTAAGTGCAAATATTAATTAATGTAACAGTAACATTCAAGATAACGGAAACATGTAGACAAGCTTTACGGTAATCATTAAAATTTAAATAACTTAACTTTTTATCAGTCACATGGCATATTTGCCTTGGCATGAATAAGGAACGCAATTGAGTTGCATTAAAATAATGTTATAGGTTGAGTTAGAACTACTAGCTTGGTATGAGAAAGAATATGAGACGAGACGTTATAGGATGAATACGGAACAATCCGACCTAACAATGAAGCTCTCATTACATTTGTAGGATCGTCCCTTTTCGTGACTTCAGTTGACATTTATTTAAACCGCAAATTGGCTCAACACGATTCACATACGGCCTCAAGTTAACGTATATCGTAAAAATAAAAAGCTATCCTCTAACGCTGGACGAAGAGAGAGAGGAGGAGAAACCGAGATTGTGCCTGCTGTGGACTTTTCAGTGCATAATGTAATATCTTTTTATCAACGAACATAAATTGTTTAAATTTCAAAGGAACCCGGCCCCAAACCCCAAACCGGCCAAGTGCGTGTCGTGCCACGCTCAGTGTAGGGTTCCGTGGTTGCCTACTCAACTTACTCAACTTTTGAATTTTGACGCAGTTTGACTTTGATTTAGGTATTTTAATTGAGATACCTACATAGATTGATATTAATTGGTTTTTCTAATTTCCGATATAGAAAATAGAGACTCTTGCTTAAATACATTGTGTTAACTACAGGCAGCTACAGAATTCTACACTGCGTGTGGCACGACACGCACTTGGCCGGTTTTTTCATGATAAAAGGGTGGAAAACAAGCATTTGGTCCAGCGGATGGTAAGCGGCCACCACAACCTATAGACATTTGCAATACAAAAGTATTACTCGCTAATGTTATGTTTTGGATACACTTTATATTCGACAAATATAATGGAAAGTGACTTCATGAGTTATCCCATATTGAAGTCATTTTTCAATTTGACGACTCTTTATATAATTCAGGGAGAAAAAAGCAGCCCTTGCTGAGTTTCTTGCCGGTTCTTCTCAGTACAAGGTCTCCCGCCGTAGATTTGCGAACCGATGGTGTAGCTTTTCGACGTTCACAAGTGCTTGTAACAGCCCAGACTGAATAAACGATATTGAATTTTTTTGAATTAAGACTTGTATCAAACTATCTATCTGCACTTTGGCGTGCGTTCGTTCGTGACTAAAGTCGCGTTGACATGCTCAAAGTCTGCTTTGATAATAGCTAATATATTATTGGTCCATGATGAAAAGAAAGCAGCGCGTATCGGATTCGGACGTAAAGCCGAGATAACATGCTTAAAGTCAACTTTGACAAAGTTGAGTATGGTCCAACTTCGACTTTGATAGAATGCCAACATCAAAGTGCGCTGTGATTACTGTTTTACGCGATCAAAGTAGCGTCTAAGTAGTTATCAAACTAAGCTACTTTGTCAAAGCAGACATTGAGCATGTCGACGCGGCTTAACTAAATCCCATTTTTACGTGAAGCAAATAAGCTCTAACGTCAGCTCATTAGATACCTATCATGCGGGCGCCTAACGGACCTTTCATCTGTGGGAATTAAACAATCTGCTAAAGAAAATTAAGTGGCCCTTACTGGAATGGCTGTACGGACAAATTTGGGGACAAATACTTTCTCACATTATAAATACGATTTGTTGACAAGAGCGTTTAATTATTTATAAGATTATTTTAAGTAATTATAAGATTGTGACTTAATTACAAAGTTTAAAGCTTTCATCAGTTTCGTATTAATAACGTCATAAGTATTTACAACATGCATTAAAAGTAATTAATTTGAAACGCTTTTCTTTAGAATATTTTAGCAAAGTAACTCTCAAGTTATAAACCGACAAGCGAAAATTTTATTACCCAATTTACGACGATAATAAATTTGAGTTTGTTGTAGTAACATTTTTATTACGGCTGAAAATTTTACGGAGGCAACACTTGGTAACACAAATCATATTTTTTCTCTGCAATTCTAATATAAATTATTAGAATTACAGTAAAATTATAATTAGAACACTTAGGTATATACTTTCGTATGCGTTTACATATTTAACGTAAAAATACAAGGGTGGACTTACTGACTCAACAGGGCCAGGGCTCGAGCCCTTGCAGCTAGAAAACTGAAATTTTGCACACGGGTTGTCATATGACACAAACAAGATTTCAGGAAGAATATATTTGAAATACAGAATCTTTATCTTCTTAATATCGTGTCCTGCTCTACCGCATTTTAAAAACTATAGTTGAGGTCCCATGTCAACCTCGCACATCATGTCGGTAAACGCCACACCAGGTGGTCTGACGACATGAAGCGACCATGGATCGGCCGATTATGATGATGATGATAAGTTATAGCAAGATGGACGGTAATGATATATCGAAAGTCAAATTTCAGAGACCTTACAGACGCAGCATGAGGGTTTAAATCTCAAGCGACTTAATTTCATGAGAAACGGAGACATACTATACTAATAGTATATAAAAATAAGAATAACAAATTGTAACTAAATTTGTTAATTCGGTAGGTATAAACAGAAATTTTATCAGAAAGCAATACTATTGAAACACCATTAATAGGGGATTTAATCGTTAACGTAGTATAACCACGACACCCTATTCTGCTGTAACATCAGTTCAAAGTCAATTATTACCTTTATAAGTATCAGCTTTACTCCATTAAAGCTCTTAACGTATGCAAATGGTGTACCCTTAATAACCACCACCGTGTAAATACCTATTGATAAAACCGATACAGGGCGAATAGGGTTACCAACCGGAGTAAGAGGGATGATGACGTAGTAAATTAAAAGATTTCCGTTAGATTATCAAAAATAATAGAGACTTATTTTTTCTCTTATCAATCAATCAAAGAATGACAAAGATAAAGTGTTATGTTTTTATTTTTTAAGCATTTAACTGATAGATTTAAAGATAAAGTATGTCCAAGTTTGGTAGTGATGTCATGCTATATTTAAAATTAGTATAACCCTGTAATATTTTATGTAAATAAAGAAAAAATACGTGGTTTTTAAATAATTAATTAAAAAAAAACATTTATTCAGTCTAGGCTGTTACAAGCACTTGTGAAGGTCAAGAAGCTACGCCATCTACCTGATAGACGAAGAAAAAAGTTAGTCATCATCTCTATTATAATATGTCTCCATTCTATCGCCTACGATGACCTTTGAAACTGTTTAATGTTTAATAATTACCTTTTTACTATCCATGCTATGCGATAAAGTAAACAGCTGATTCTCATAATCTTTTCATTTGGCAACATAGGAGATTTATTGTTAAGAAAAAACACATTTTTTTGATGTGATGACCCTGTTCATGTACCTCTTTACGCGCCGCTTAAATTGTGTTTGATCATTAAGCGAGCATAATATTATTATTTGCTTAATACAAACCGTATTACGCAATGGAGCAGGGAGTCCGTTTCTCAGTTATGTTACCTAAATAGTAGCTGTTAATTATATTATGCGTTTTCTGGCACTACAAAGAGAACGGTGCTTGTCATGGTAATTTTATAAAATACGGTTAACTAATTTGTGAACAATTCTTTCATTTAATCGAACATTTGTAATCTATTAAGCATGCAGAAAATATTAATAAGCTTTTAATGTAAAAAATTCGACATGCAACTATGTAGCCCGCTAATACCAGAGTATCGCTTGCGCGATTGCTAATAGAAATTGAAATTGTACAAATTGTAGGTGTAGGTATTTAGAAGTAACATTATGATATAGCCACAGTAAAACTTACTTTTAAAATTCTTAATAAAACCCAATAATCTGTGTCCCGGTTCGGATCCCGATGTATAGCAGTTGTTTGGACTCACTGAATATATTTGATATGAATATTCTTTCGCTAAGTTATACATATTTTCGTGTAAAAGTACAATACCCACAATTTAATTCAGCGTTCATATAGTTCGCTGTTTACATTAACCATCTAAAAACATTTAATCTAAAATTCTTAAGAAAACTATTTTCAATGTGTCAGTACATGAAAATATAATAATACCAAACACTGAACTTATATCGAGTGACAAAAAAATAGCTCTTAATACTACTTCTAACCTAAAACTTCAAATGGCCCCTGGGAATTTCACCTTGCATACCTTTCTCAGCAGTATTCTCCTGTTGGAAACTTAAGACAGTGTTTTAAAAATATTGAAAGTTATACAATGTATTATTAAAGATCATGCTATGTTTGCCAGTATATTCCCTGATGGTAAGGTACATACGTACTTACTTCGACAACACCAGGTTATTAAAGTGATCATGCGGAAAACCCCAAAGGAATCTCGCATAACTGAGATTACAGGTGGGTCTATGGGGGAGTTGGTTAACCTTGGGGTACAGGAGCTGATCAGCTGTCCCTTGGATTACATTTCTTTTGTTGAAATTTTGGAGTTGAGTTGAGGAGTTGAGTTTGGACACTGAAAATTGGGGAAGCCCAATATTGGCTTAAATGGGCTCAGACTTGGCTGCTGGTCAGACTGGGCTGTTGCTCAAATGCCGGGTGGGGCAGTATTCTTTTTCGCTTGCCAAAACTCGTGGACTGAATACATCACACATTCTCGTGTGTTGAAGGAGCGTAAGCAACGTATATTTGAGAATTAATGTCACTGCCACTATTCCAGCCCGAACAAAGAAATATGGTGACTCATTTCTATGTCGCACTATCTAAATTATAAATCTTCCATTCCAAGTAAAATATGCGTTGCGTAGTTTAGGACCCTTTGTACCAAATGCAACATTGCTCTGCTGTTCCGATTGAAAAAATCTTTTTGAATTGGACAGTACATTTATCGAGCAAGGCCATAGGTATATATATTACCAGGCTACGATCAGTAGCAGCGGAGCATCGATGAAAAATGTTGCAAAAACGGGTTAAAATATTCGATTTGTGAGATTCCGTTGCGTGCGCTAGGTAAACGGTTAAAGTTACACAAAAATCATGTATGATGGAATTTTTCCCCTCTAACAGTTCTGTAAAAATGTCCACGACAGCCAGCCATATTTTAAGTTTGACTCACTATAAACTTTTTTCTTCAAATTAACGCGGGTGAAATCGCAGGGGACTCTAGCTGTGACATAACTGTAATAGTTATATAGACATATGGTATCGCGGACTTTTTTGTAGATATTGGTTTCCTCTATAAAACTTTAGTACATCACTTTGCTCTATTGTCAGTGACTTCCGCAGCCACATAAGACTATTTTTTGGTATTTTTTACACACGTTGGGTTACATTATCGAAGTTTTCATTTCCTTATGAAAACTTCGATAATATAACCCCTAACTTTTTTGAAAATACACTATAGCCTATATTAATCAGTGATAATGTAGCATTCAAATGGTAAAACAATTTTTAAAATCGATCCAGTATTTTTTGAGCCAATTCGTTAAAAACATACTTACATACAAATCTTTCCTCTTTATAATATTAATTATATATAATAGTATAGATTTCCATGTACACAGCTTGGGGTGTGGCGATGGCGTGGATAGCGATCGCCTGTTGCTGCGGCTACGGCGGGCTCGTGAACAGCCTACTGTCGTACCGCGGGTTTCTGCCGCTGAGCCGGCTCACCTACTGCGCTTACCTGGTGCACCCCACCGTCATGGTCTTCACAAGCTTCATGCTCGATGGACCGTTCCACCTGACAAACTCCACAGTCGTAAGTTTATTGAGATATTCTAGCGATCGCCTGTTGCTGCTGCTACGGCGGGCTCTCAAACAGCCTGCTGTCGTACCGTGGGTTCCCACTGACGAGCCGGTTCACCTACTGCGACTACCTGGTGCACCCCACCGTCACGGTCTTCTTGTGCTTCATGATCGAGGAACCGTTCCACCTGACAAACTCCACAGTCGTTAGTTTATTGATATATTTTAGCGATCGCCTGTTGCTGCGGCTACGGCGGGTTGGTGTCACGGAGGCCTAGTGAGCAGCCTGCTGTCGTACCGCGAGTTCCTACCCCTGAGGCGGCTCACCTACTGAGTCTACCTGTTGGTCCGTCCGTCATGGTCTTTGCTCGACGGACCGTTCCACCTGACAAACTCTACAGTCGTTAGTTCATTGAAACCATTGGTATCATTTCTTAGCCATCCTCCTCTCCCTTTAAAAGTTCAACTCTTGACGCGCACGCAGTATCTTTCATTTCGACATTGAAAAATTTGTTTACAGAAATCACTTTTTAAAATTTACAAAATTATATAGTGATTTGTAAATATGTACTAATGTTGTATTGAAAAATATTATAAATATCATGACAGGTGTTCAAGACTATTACGACAGTTTTGACGCTGGTCTGAGAGCTAAAAAGCAAACGCCAGAATGCCGAAACTAATCAACGTGAATTGTAAAAGCCTATCAAATTAAGCCATTATAGCCAGAAAATGACATTTCAAGTCTATTCCAAGAAATAAATAGTAATCGAATACCTACTCACAAAAGTTTCAAACTAATTAAGCGAATTAATAAATGTGCATTCGAAAACTAATTTTAAGAAATAATTAAGTTGAAGTTTTCACATCAACACCACGGACTCGAAAGTGCTGCGTATAAATTTCAATTGTTTGCTAAGGATAAATATTCTGTAATTTAAAATATACTAAAATCATTAGCTTGCACTGCGAACCTGTCGTAAGTTTTATACACAAAAGAATAAAATACAGATTAATTAATTTTTAATTATTCCAGAAGACGACTCTTTTGATTCAGAGCTGCTGAGACTGCTTTAGCATCACTGACTTATTTTCTGCTCTGAGGAGCATAAAATATTCTGTTTTTAATCAATGAAAAAATAACTCAAATTCTTTATTGTTCTGTTCAATACATTAAGCATTATGTAACTTTGCATAGTTTCCAAAATGATACATTCATTAGAAGGACGGCATTCATCTGATATTATCGCTTGACTCGTGAGTGTGCATATTTATTAGTAGCAAGCATCAAAATAAACAGGCCCCGATGAAGGTATTAGCCGATAATTTTGAGGGTGTAGCCTGCCCAGCCGACTGGGCTTATTTGCCGTTGTCTGACCTGTATCTACGTTATAAATTCACGAAGATGAGACACGGCTTTGCTTCCAGTACTTTGGCCACGTGTTCTACAAAAAAATACTCGAAGGACGATATTATTTTTTAAATCAATTAAAATCTGACTCATTGTCGATATTGGTGAGATATTAAGAATTTGAGCAGGTGGTTTTGAGAACAAAAGCTCCCTAAAGAATTATTCTACTATGCATACTTTCTTAAGTTCTTGAATAGGACCTGCGTTCATTATACCATTATATTATATTATAACATCAGGTGGGGTGGAGTCATTTGCCGGACCTATCTATAAAAAAATAAAAAATAGTCATTTCACTTGATTCGTGAGTGTGCATATTTATTAGTATCAAAACAAATAGGCTTCGATGGAGATATTACCAAAAAAGTAAGCAAAAAGTAAGTAAGGAAGTAGCCCGTTCAGGGCTGGGATTATTGACCGTTGTATAACCTATATCTACACCATAAATTCGCAAAGGTGACACGGCTCTGCTTCCAGTCTATACACGACACGCTATACCAGGTAGAGTAGAGTCGAGGCCCGAATCTCAGAGACACCCTCTAGTTGAGCCGACCCCCTCAGGTTTGAGTGGTCTAGAGGCTTCAGACGGAGAGGAGACTCCTCCCGTGAGGGAGGCCATCTGCCTGGAATACGTCTAGAGGCACTCGCCAAATTCTTGGCTTGAGGTCCTCTTAGTATCTCACCGTCCCCAAACTCGATGACGCTGTAAAAGTCATCTGCGACAGCATACACACTCAAAAAAGGCTTTGCTTCCGGTGTTATAGCCACATACTCTACAGGAAAATACTCGAAGGATCATATTATTTTTTAAATCAATTAAAATCTGACTCATTGTCGTTATTGGTCAGGGAAGTATATTAAGAATTCTGAACAGGTTTTTTTTAAAACAAAAGCTTCGTAAAGTTTAATTCAACTTTGCATACTTTCCTAAGTCCTTTTCTATGGTTTGCGTTCATTAGTAATTTCACTATATTCATGCGTAAGTGTGCATATTTAGTAGTTTCAAGTATCAAAACAAACAGGCCCCGATAGAGATATTAGCAGATAATTTTTAGGAGGTAGCCCGTTTCGAGCTGGGATTATTGACCGTTGTCTGACCTACATCTACATCATAAATTCACAAAGGTGACGCGGCTCACTGGTGCTGGTGCCATGGCCACGTGCTCTACAGGGATGTGCCTCGAGGTTTTAACCCAGAATTAATGGCCAACGATAATTAACTTTTCGTCAGATGAAAAAGAGGCTTGAACTATAAAATTCTACTTTTGACTGATTTCAATATTTAAAGGTTGTTGATTATTTTATGGTTACATAAGTGATTCCGCCGTTCGAATTAATGCGTTTCATGAAAGAGCACAAAAATATTTATATAAAAATTTAAGCCGTTTTCTTAAATGCTGGAATTTTATCTTTATCTGCGGATTATTAGATTAATGGTATAAATAAATGAAACATTACAAGTTTGTTAATTTATCTGGTTAAAGAATTTACCTTTCTTATCATGAAAGTAAAGGAATTGCTCAAGTGTGATCATAAATAATTTGGTCATAATATCACAGGTATTTTTAGATTGAATAGGCTTTTCGTTGATAATCTTTATGTCGCCGATTTACTACGAAAACAGTTGACCTATTCATGTTTAATAAGAAACGCCTGAACGTTTCGCACACTATTCAAGTTAAGACCACTGCCCTACTTATTCGATTCATATATTTGACTTCCTTTAGGCTTTTGGAACCATCCACGGTTTGAATATATTTTTTTACTAGAATGGCAATACAATGGCAGAAAACGTGTATATCTATATGAAGTTATATCGGGTTCAGACCGGCAAGGTGTAGATTTTACCGGCCTGAACCCTAACCTCGACCCAGTAGTACCCTAGTAACTTACTCATCGAAGAAAATTTAACACAAGGCTACTAAAAGTTAGTATTATTTTAATGTAGTCCTCTATAAGGTAGGGGTTACTTCCCTAAACGGACAAGCAAAACCCCGATTTCGGCAATATATTTTTAGTACTTAGCTCGCGACTTCATCATTTAGCAATCGTAGACCAAAATTTTTTACTGCATCATTTTCGATTTATTTGTTTATCATTGTCGAGCGAGTATACCAATTGACGGGACACTTTCGTTGATAATATTTATGTGGCTTTGTGTCGTTGAGGTGGAGCTATGAAATAAAATGAAAATATAGTTTATTCAAATTGACATATTGATACCCTTTTGAATCGACCAATATTTTTACTACTACCCATTCAGGGCATCTTGTAGCTGACTGGAGATTTCCTTTGTATGCTTGAGCTCTTCTAGGACATGTCCCAGTTTGAGCTATATGGAACAGGCAATGGAAGAACAACAGGAACTTCCCTTTTAAGCTAACTTTTCAATGTGAAACTGAGTAAAAACAAGAAAATGCAAAAATCCTTACTACCACGTTTCCTATTCAAATAGAAGTTTAAATCGTCCGGCACAAGTAGCATGTTGACCGTGTCACTTATCTCGCCCAACACTCTGTGTCCACACTCATTTATCGTCGCCCAAGGTATATCTATCCCTACCGCGGTTATAAACAGTTCTTATTTCATTACAGCTAAAGTCCAAAATTCAACGACGATACTAACATAATATCAGTCAATTAATAACTTTAGAGGGAATTCATTGAACCTTTGAAAGATCCGTTATTCTAAGGTATACTTATGCCATTGGATTGGACATAATAGTTTGATTTTGTTAGGTTTTTGTTTTAGATTAGTTAGGTACCTGATAGCCTTAGCACGAACCATTATCGAATTCGATCTTTTTTATACGTCCAATGTGTACTGATTTTCAGTTCTTGTTACGTCCGTTGTGGCGCTGTTGTTCAAGTTTCCATACAAAATTTACAATAACATTTTGCACTCGTAAAGTGTTCTAATTCGATACTGGTTAGTTCTAAGGGTACATTTACTAAATAGGTATTACATGTTTACCACGCTATATGGTAAACCATTTTATAACTAAGATTTTGTTTATTTTTACAATATTATTTAGGGTCGGGAAACTGCTCATGAGATGTTTATGGCATCGTAATATTTGCATTAAATATATTAAGTGAAAATAATAAATGAGTGAGAGAATAAAGTTTATTGTAATGACTCGTTTACTTATTCATCCAGTAGGTAACTTAACTCACTGTTTAGTATACTTAGAAATCCGGATACTCAAGAAACTGCGGTAAGTAGCTGGGAACATAAATAATTTATTCGGGTGAATCCATTCAACGGTCGACAATTAAATATTAATAAATTATGATGCCTACTATCTGTTATAGGATACTAAACTATTCAATAAGCTCTCGTTTATAGTAGTTGAAATCGGTTATTTACTAATGGGTTTTAATGAAACTGAAACTAGCTACAAAAAGAACAAATGTTTCAAGTAATATAGCTAAGGTGATATTTGCGAAAAAAGATGACTGCAGCGATTTTTCACGTGAAAACGTTAAAATAGCTTTAGGTACCCTCCTAGAAATACAATCATTTCTCTTTTCTTTGCTTTTAAATTAATAAGAAAAACCAAAACAGTGGCCACAAATACGTTTTAAATGCAATAGCCTAAA